CATTATAAGACAAGTATACGTATCTCCTTTGACCAATTCGGCCAAACACATTTCGGCCTGATCATATGACTCATCACTGATGGTATGAACGTCGAAATTTGGGTCTTTGTAATAAGTCCTTTTACTAGAATTTTTCATCTGCTCTTCCTCTCTTATCAGTCGTTCATACCTAATCACATTCGCACTTAACTGGAAAAGGTTAGGAAATTCCTTGTCCTAGAATTTCTTTTTTAAATCAAAGCTCAACCAGCCCTGAGCAATTTTGACAAATTCTTTTTCGCGCAGAGGTACAAAACACTTGCTCCTTGCTGTCTTGAACCTTTGGAGAAAACTTTCTGCCCATTCGTTTGGCATTTGACGTAGATTCGCCAAATCAGCCAAAGTGACTTCAGACTCAGTTTTACAAAACTGAGCGTGGAATAACTGTTCCAATTGTTGCCATGTTTGAACAAAGTTTGCTGACAAATTGATGAACCAGGAGAAAGCTACTCCTGTTAATGAACTAGGGAAAAGACTCATTTTATGGTAATCGGTTACATCACCACTTTGCAATGTGAATCGCCCTATGTGTTCTAGAGTAGACACCTCTCCTAAATCGGTAAACAGTGAGAATTATGGCACTTTATACCCTCTAGGCCATGGATATGCTTGGTCTATCCAATGAGGATATGGCTTTGTGTAAGTCGGCCTAATGATGGGACGCACCCCAAAAGCCATTTGATCCTGTACGATTTCCATAATCTGATTCTTCAACATGACATTGGTGTCATATGGAATTCATACAGGTTGGTTAACCGATTGATTTGCATGAGGTCTGATGTTTGGTCCTTAATTGGCAACAAAGTTACCTTGATTAGGGCCATTACCATTAGCCTGAATATCTATTCCCTCATTAACACTTGGGGTATTCTGTCTATTGTTTAGGACATTATCTCTTATATTTGGATTACCCCCCAAGTTAGGCGTACCACTACTATTGTTCTGATTTGGCACTGCACCACCCCCTTGGTTTGAAGTAGAGGGACCAGAAAGAGGTTCTACCCCTTGATTCGGATTTAGGACTGAGGGATTATATCCCACAATTGTCCTAGTTTGAAAGTGATTTGCAAGAAGTATAATCGGTTGACATATTTGGCCTACTAACTTATTCATTATTTCGTTCAAAGTGTTTAGTTGTTTGGCCATGTTGTCATAATGTGCATTCCCATTTTGGGTAAATCTTTCCACATTATGAATATTTCGAAGATTTACCTGTTCAACGACATCTTGTGTGAGTTCTCCAAGTAATGCACGCATGGTTCGAGGACTCAACTCTGTCATTAGTTCGTAACGACTGTTACTGCTCTGATTCTATCCATCTGTTCGTGGAGAGGCATGCTACTCCTCATATCGCTCGATCACAGACTGGATTCCTCCCGGACTTGCTGCTTCCTTATCGGATCTCTGAGGCATATTATTTCACCTTTTGTATTTTCAACACCAAACACCACTGTCCCACTGGGCGTGCCAAATTGTTTCGCGCGTGTTAGTCGCTAACAATTAAAAGGGATCAGACAATTGTGTAAGGGACAAACCTCTTGAGATAAAGTCCCAAAAAGGGGTGTTCTTTATTGGCGATGACTTTACAATTGGAAATTAAAAACAGAATGCCTTCAAGGGGCGCAAGCACACGAGTTACTAAAAGAAGTGTTTAAATCTAAGCTAAGGAATTTAAAATTACATGTTCTCTGTTCGAGAGTTTTTGATTCGGTCCTTTTCCTCTATGTCTTTTCTTCCTTTTATACTCCATGGATGATCTTTTTGTGATCAACCGCCTAAAAACTTCTTGATCGTTCTACAACTGCCCACTTTCCTCGTAATAGCCAACTTGTCATGTAACTGCCTTTTTTAACTGCTGTGATTACTCTTCGTCGTTCAACTGTTTTCGATTGAATTTCTTGAATCGTGGAACGTGATAGGGCTGCTTTAATAACTGGTTTGATAACTGCACTTCTTGATAACCACAACACTTTATGTTTGTTAAGACCTTGCGCGACTCGAAGGTTTGGGCCAGAATAGAGTAACAGCTCTTAGCGACTGCTGGCACTCCATTCGCTCAGATTCTGGGCGACTTGCAAGCTTGGGCGATGGTGTTACCGCGTTCTTGGGCCTCCCTATTTGGGCCTTCATATTGAATTGTTTGACTGGGTTTCGTTCTTTAGGCTATCTGATTTGATTGAGCTTCATTTCTTGGGCCGTTCGATTTGGGCTGAATTTTTACGTGTCAACACCTGTATTAAGAGCTAAACTGGTTAAAGGTATGAGTCCTAATTATCACGGCTTTTTGAATCAAAAAATGATTTAGTTCATATTTGACCCTCATTTTTAAAATGTTCTTCAAATTCATTTCCAAACACACTTTTATATAGAATTTACAAAATTGATCAACTTTTCTAACACGTATTTTATTAATTTTTTTCAAAATATATTAAAAATTTAACTTTTTGTTAAACTAATCAGGGCTTAATTATGCAAACAAAATATGGTAACAAGAACACTAGATTTAGAATTTCATTTTTTCATTTATTTATTTTGATTTAATAATGATTATAGACAAATGATTTGATTTTTATTTATTTATTCATTTATTTATTTTTTTACGTTAGCGCAGTTGACACGTCCGCACATTGATAGGCTTTTCATGACACATATGATGTTGGACCAGCCAATTTCTCGACGTTTGGGCCCATACCACTAAACATATCTAATGTGGGCATCATTTCCTCATTCTTGGAGTTGGGCTTTTGAGAAGCATTGGTTATCCTTCTTCCTTTGATTTTTGGGCCATTGCTCTTTATTGGGTCTATCTTTGGTCACAGATTAACTAATTTAATGGTCACAGTTAACCAAATAATTTGTGTCCACCACCAATATTTACGATTCAGAGTCACAAATTTCAAGTCACGTATCCAATTATGAGTCACGGTCACAATTTTCAGGTTACGTATCCAATTGCGAGTCACAAATCGCTGTCAAAACTCCCACCACCACCTGCAGCAACACTGTCGCCACGCAAAACCACCACAGCAAGCACAACACCACCGACCATCCCTCACTATTGCAACGCGAACCACCACCACATTAACAAAACCCAATCACCAAAACAATGAAAGACAAACCATCGTCACCCATGCCATCCCACACACAAACCACCATCCACAACCACCATCGTCACCTTTGACCACCGCATACCGCCACCAACACTTGGGACAACCACTACCGCCCTGACTACCACTATGATCACACTACGACCCACTACCAACATCACAACACCCTCGCCTCCTCCCCCGAGCTACTCCAGCCCAATGCTAGATCGAAAACTAGAACTCAATTAACATCACCAACAACTCAAATACCACAGCCATCACCATCGCCAACATCCCGACCACCACAGCGCCGCGGGTGCATCGGCGTCACAATACCGCATCTCTATGGGTGCCGCTTCGAGTGACGCTGTCAAAGGCCATCACGGTCTCACCACCATCATGATTAGCAGCGCCACCGTCGCCACACCACCATAGCACTACACCACCAAAAAAATCCCCAAAACTCGGCATCGTTGCAGCCACCATGATAAACATAAATGAAAATAGAAACCGCGTTGTCCAAACTAGTAGCAATCGCCGAAGTCGGAGTGAGCTGCCGCAGAGAGAGAGAGAGAGAGAGAGAGAGAGAGAGAGAGAGGTGGGAGGAGAGAGAGAGAGAAGACGGGTAGGAAGAGAGAGAAGGAGATGGAGAGGAAATTGATTAGGGTTGGAATGGAATTTTTATAATTAGTATTTAATATTCAAATATGAAAATTTTGGTTTTTTAATTAATTTTTAAATATATTAATTAATTAAAAAAATTTCTGATTTGTGAAATACTAAACATGGCATCTTATTAATGAAATGAGAATTTTTAATCTATTAGAATATGTAATTTCCACTTTTAATTTTGTCAATTGTACAATTAGTGAACGAAAACGTGCTTGAAGTTGAAGAGATGGGTCGTGTTGTGAACTAACACATATATAGAGGCACACCACATTTAGCTCCCAAGCTTCCATAGACAGACCTGGTAGCACGGATCGTGACTGTTTCTCATTTATATAGAATCTTGGAGTATTGAACACATCATAATCGCATTATTGTCAGGAATTGGAGTTCATTTATATGCTTAAGTTTAAATGTAATACACAACTTTTTCGTATTTGTAAATTAATTGAGTGACTAGATTCATGCACTTCCACAGAGAAAGAAACAAACGAATATGAAAGCTTTGGGTGGGTCATTGAGCCAATTCAAAAGGCATATGGGCATGTTATGGAGATTAAAGACAACAGTATCCCCACCCCCACGCAATTAAAGTCCACACTGCATTGCTTGTGAATTTGTGACAAGAACCCTACAATCCTATCCTCGGATTCGATTATTATTTTAAGAAATCTTCCCCACAATTCTCGCCGTCCAACACACAAGTTCCCCTACTAGGAAACAATTCACTATCATTCATATCTCCAAACGAATTATAGTATATTTGTACCTCACTCACACTCTCAACTACTCTAATCAATTCGATTCAACTAATCAACTTCTCATTTCTCGTTCTTTTCTCGTTCTATCAATTCGATTCAACCAATCAACTTCTCTTGTCTCGTTCTTCTCTCTAAAACGAGAAAGAAAAGCAGCAGCAGCATAATCATCTAGTGTCCCTAAAGCTAAATATTTATTCACAACATTTTTTTCCTTCACATTGTTATTTGATTTTCAATAAATTAGACTATCTTATTCCGCAATATCGGCCAAAAAGATTTTCCTCAGGAAAAATATTTAACTGAAACTTCGTATTTATCCTTTTTGTTTTCTTATTTAAAAGCACGAGGGGATACATTTGTTTACTTTGTCAAATTAATCCACGATTGGATTGAGTTATAATAATCTCTCTTCACCATAATCAAGTATCATAAAATACAACAAAAAGAAGAAGAAGAGAAATATTACATTATTGGAAGATTATTACAAACACCTTACACTAGAATTCAAATTAAAAGCAACAATATTTAAAAATTCTCCACAAAATATGAAAATAAAAAATCTTCATTATTTAGGTCAAGAGATCATTGACCCACCCAAGATCAGGTCCACCCAAGTTACCTTCATTAATATTGTACCTACGGTCTTCCATGAACAACTTGTTATGTTCATTAATCAATTTAGTAGTCGATGTCATCGAAGGAGATAAAATGAAGTGAGGTTGTTCGTCGATCCAAGGGAAATTACCCTTCCTAGCCAGAGAAAAATCATTCACATTCATGGCTTCGAATGAGCTCGTCAATTCAGTCATTGCATCTTTATAACTCGCTCGACCAGAATTGAAAACCGGTGAATTTGGGCCGGGGGACAAATTGGTCGTACAAAGTAAAGTAGAAGTTGGAGAATTAGTAATCGAATGACAATGAATACAGCAATGGTGGTGCAATTTCTCGATACAGAATGAAGATGGAGTGCGAAGTTGACGGGCAGAATGGGCGAAAAAACAAACCTTTCGCTGGCAATTCTTGCCGTCTTTACACGCCTCTGTTCGATACCGAGTTGGGTGTAGCCAAGACTCGAATACGCCATGCGAGTACTCGCACAGATCTCCTTTTCCACAGTAGCCTTTTCGAAACTCAGCACATACAGTTCCCGTATAGTTATACTTCCTCGGATCCCTTCGCCGAGCCTTTTCTCCGGGATGCGCGAATGGACAATCCGTCCAGTCGTGGCTCCTACTCCGACTACACTTACGCACCTTAAATTCGAACATTCTGAAATCGTCGGCTGAGTAAGGGTCATCGTCATCATTGTTATACGGCAAGAATCTCCGGAAAATAGCCGCCTTACCTTTTGGAGACTCCATGAAGAACTCCATCGCCGCAGCCGTGGACAGGCGGCCAAGGAGTTTTCTCGGTGGAATTTCGATACTTTTCTTGTTGGAATAAAGCTGGTGAGAGTCACGAAACTTGTGTGGCATCTCAGCACAAATACTACCCATCTTAAATTTTTGTGAATGAAATGGAAGAGTTAAAGAAGAGACATACATACAGAGAGCTATAAAGAGAGGGAGAGTGACAAGGAGGGTGTGAGGTATGGCAGAGAGGTGCGTGGCTTGATAGTACTAATGGTTTTACATGCAAAACTGTATATGTGGCAGCTCCACATTACACAGTCCATGCGTTTCGATTTTAGGTGAGCACTTCTTATTTTTACGAGGTTTTCATATCCTCACCTGTAAGTTAGAAAGAGGCATATCCCGTTGCAAAAGAAAATGGTGAGATATATTTAGTCTTGCTGACAGCCGCAGTGTGAAGATTCGATTCTTGAAACATGGATTGAGACTCTTTGTGGGCATTAGTGTATGAACAACTTTTGTTCCCTAACCAGCTGTGGCACATCTCGTGATTAACCTTTCTCATGATACTCCAGGGATGAGGTGATGGAGGACCCTTAAAGTTAGAGTTTAACATTTTTTTAGAATAACTTCAATGACAGCAAATCACATTGTTCACTCAAATTATGATATTTACGATCTAAATAAACCCACTATATTTCTCTCTCGCCCACTCATCATCTTAGATATGGATTGAGTAGTTCGAAATTCCAAGTGCCATTATTTACGACGTGCGCATGTAAACTCATTGAACTTATGAATTCATATATTTTTCTTATTAGTTAGCAATTGAGTTTTGACAACTTGAAGTGCACGATATCAACCATAGCTACATGACATGTTTCAATTGAATGAACGTTCAAAAATTATTTTTGACACAAACGATTTTTAGAAATCGATCACATTCAAGTCTTAATAGAACATCTAGTGGTATTTAGTTTGCATCAACTAGGGAAATTCAAAGCTTTATCAATACAATTACACTTAAATTTCCTTCAATTTTTCAAGAAATCACTTAAAACTTGTATTTTTACGGCATTCAAGTGTAAATAAGGAAAAAAAGGAAACTTCCAATAAAGTAAACACACTCTTATCAATCTAATTATATGGCCAGCTTCCCAAAATTTCATCGCACTTCCAAAAAGGGGCTTAAGTTCTATATGTCAAACTAATCCAAGTTGAGAAAGAAATACATTAATAATTATAATGCAAAATATGACATCAACAATGCTAATTAAAATAAAATCGACGTTGAATTCATTTTATAAACTAAGGCATAATTGTATGAATTGTTTTTTCCTCAGTTCCAGCCTGTAATTGATCTCCAATCATTAAGTGATTATCCCGCAAAAACACTAATCAAACTTCAAAAACATCTTCACATATATATATATATACAGACTGAAATCTGGGATGCAAACCTGTCTTTAAACTAGAGATATAACTTATGGCCAATAAGCACAACAGCAGGGTTCGAACATCATTACATGAAGCATAACACCGACGGAAAGAAAATGTACAGATTACTGAAACCTGACAACAATGCATGAGATATCATCCTTGCTTTTCCTAGAAACAGCCTCCTCGACCAAGTGCTTTGCAGCCGATTGAGCACTCTTAATGTTTCTGATGGATTCAACAGCTTCTTGATTCGACATCACCTACCAAAAAGTGTACAAAATTGAGAACTCAAGAATTACAATTGTTACTATAGGTTTCTGTGACATCCCACCTTCCATAATCCATCGCTAGCTAAAATGACAAACTCTACGTCTTCATCAACTATCTCGACTGCAACGTCTGGTTCTGAGCTAAGATGTCTCTTCAAGCTCTTGTCACCAAATGCCCTGGCCACTGCCAGCTGACCATCTACTCGAGGAACATCACCTACGGGAATCATAAAATCTCAGCTTAGATGAATAAATGGATCTGATGAGCATGTTTGGGTGGAGCTTACAAAAAAGATCTACCTTCTAAGTTGAAAAAAGCATATATGATTGGATTCCATGTGCTTATAAGTACAATAAAAATATATGTTAGGATCGGTTGTGCTTATTTAGGCCCCGTTTGGAAGGGATTTTGAGGATTGATTTTTTGACCGTTAGAAGAAAAGTGAAGTCCACTTCTGAGAGAAAAAGTCAAAAATTACAATTGGAATAATAAAATAACGGTTAAAAAATCAATTTTTTGGGGTAAAAAATCCCTCCCAAACAAGCTGTTATGAGCTTTTGGCAAGGGGCGAATTACCAAAATGCCCATGGGGTGTTAAAGTGAATATTTAAAACAATAAGCCAACGTTTTTTTAATCAAATTTTCCATGATTTCTCTTCTGCAATGAATGATGTGGTTTTCTTTGATAACACAAATTCGATGGTAAATATTAAGATAAAGAAGGGTGAATTCGTAATTCATTTGGTCAAACTATCTTATAAGCTAGGATGAGTTGGATGGGTCTAGCTTATTGCTTAATCCAATTAGGGCTAGAAAATAAGCCACGTTGAGACATGTTTGGGTGGATTTTGGGCTAATAAGCTAGGTTGACAGTTTATAAGTTGCACCCAAACATAGAAGGGCATTGGATAAAATACATTGAGCTCCATCTGAGGGAAAAATAATAGCAGTTCTATGACTTCAAGGATAAAGAAGTAAAAAATTGTAAATTCTTTCAAGCATCAATATCATTCAACTTTCACAAGATGTATTTAGAATACCTGGAATGTTTGATACAAAGCCACCCTTTTTCTCAATCATCGACTTTTCCTTGCTCGGTTCATGGTCAACTGATATTTGTTTTGGAACGCCCTTCCTACATATTACGGCCCGAGAGTCCCCCACGTTTGCAACTAGCAGCTTGTGCCCATCCATCAATATTGCAGTAACTGCAGTCGACCCACCTTTCCCCAAGTGAAAGGACTGCTCCAAGATTTCATTATCTGTTGTCTTATAAGCTCTTCTTAGTGCCTTCTCTGTGTCGGTCCAAAAATCATGCTGTTTTATTTGAGTGAAGATCAAATTAGAGAAGAATGTTGAAATAGCCATTATTTTGGGATATTTAAGGAAATGAAACAGAAGAAATAATATTATTACCTGCTTCATAATATTGTCGAACAGGTGCCCTTGCAAGTATTTTGCAACGTCATGCCCCATATGCCCATCGAAGATAGCAAATAGACCCAACTCATTATCATCCAATTTTTTGAATTCAGAAACTAAACAATCTTCCATAGCATGATTTGATTTTCCTTTCTCAAGATAGAAGCCATGAGTAATGTGCTTCGAGAATTTACTTTTGCCTTTTCCCGCTTCAATCGAGACTGAAGATGAAAAACATGTTTTTTCCTGAATAATTGTAAAAATGGAGTTAATCCAAAAAATGTAGCATGTCATCCGTAAATAACCATCAGAATAAGACCCTGCAAAAGACACTCTGATCTTTAGGAGGTACATCGAGTTGAAAATTTGTTTTGATTTAGTAAGAGTACGTTGGGTGGTGTCATGATTCTACAAATGTGTGGATAATAAGTGGTTAGTACATTTAATTGCTTATAAGCCATGATCCTGTGAAATGTATGGATAATACGTGGAAAGTAGTTGTTCACAATGTGTGAATAAAATGTAGGTTAGACCAGCTGTGCCAAACATGCACTAAATCTGATTACATTGGCGATGTACCAAATAAACGATAATGAAAAAAAAAAAAAAATACCACTTGGAATGACAATTGAATCAACAGTGCTAACCTGCACGTAATTCCAATTCATAACAATGTGACAAATACTCAAAGGAGATGGACCTAAAACTTCGATTTCCATAATGCAATAAGAATTTGAATATTTATTAACCTCAGAAACTTCTGACAGAAATTTTAATTAATGTATGTTTTTAAGATGCGGAATATTTCAAATAAAAAAAATGGTACTTGGCAGATTGCTGAAAGAGAAGCACGGGTGTTGACGAGGATGATGTGGACATGTGGTAAAGTTGAAGGGAACCTATTGAGTCAAACTAGGAGCATTGAGTCATTATGTGTTTGTATATAATAAGAACTTATTGTACTGAACACAAGAAACTTCAGTCTGGCACAACTTTTCATCCCTTCGATGCCAAACTCTTCTCCAATCCTCTTATGTGTGATTTCCATACAACTTTTAATTAGTATGGAGCTGCTGATTCTTTTATTGTGGGAAAAGACATGATATCTTGCTCAACAAATGAACCATATACCACTGTAAACAGTAAACTTATACTATTAACAGCTTGCAGTATTTTGACATCATTTCAACTACACATTCTTCAATAAAATAATATTACACGTAAATCCAAAACTTTCCCTTATTTTTTAACCACACATTTCCCATCAATACGCTATTCAAAAATTCATTTCTTCCTCCAAAATGGGGCTAAAACAAGGGCTAAATATCCTCTGAGCCCAACCCCCTCAATTGGTTTTAATTCCCCTTTATTCTGTTATTTCCTAAACCTTATATCTTGAGATTGCAAACCCAAAATTTGCTTCTCTAAGTGAATGCTACATTAAGGAACTTAGCAAACTATCCCTTCTGCTATAAATTTCATAAGGTTGAGGACTTCTAATTGAACAGTTCTGGAGATCATCATTAAACCTCGAGGTGTAAATTATAATAGACTTTTTAGTCTTTGTTTAGCCATATCAATTATTTTGTAAATATATCTTCTTTGTTAGCATATTACTAACTTTCGACAGAGAAGGTCTAAATGCATATAAAACCTCATTCTGGTAATGATGATCAAAAGATACTTAAAGAATGATCCTAATATAGGAGCTCTAATTCATGGTTTATCCTACAAATGACATAAATCAAGCAATAGCTGGTAAATATATTTAAGCGATTCAAATGTATAGGAAATTGAATAGATATAAAAGGTCGGACTTATGAGGGCTGCTTGCCTAAGTACAACCGAATGATTTGGACCAGTAAATTATTGAATGAAAACTCCGAAAAGGGAAAACCCATCTTCCATTCCCTTCCTTAACTCCATAAACTTTATGATAACAATCCATTCTTTCAGCTCCACTACCATTGAACCCAATCTATGATCTAACACTCCAATGTTCATCACTAAAGTTGCTTAAGCATCCCTCGAGCAGTACTTTATTCGTAAGTATATGATGGAGAAGGAAGAATTTGACAAGCATCCCTTGAACAACCATATGTTATCTACACCAGGAGAACACCCCCAGCCCAGCCCCCAGACTGCATATCATTATTTACAATCAAACATGAATAAACAAATCAGATATACCTATAAATCCATCTTATTACATACATGTATGCAAAATAATTGAGCAAAAAAATCAATTTAGCTCCACTACTGCTGAACCCAATCTCTATATGATCTGATACTCCAACATCCCACAAAAAGTCGCTTAAGCAGACTCTTCAAAGAGTTTTTCTATTCTCTCTGTCTAAGGTTTCAAAGATATACTGACAGTAAGTATCTGTCCACAAGAAAACACAAAATCGTCTTCTCCGATGGAAAAGGCAGAAATTTGACAAGCAACTTTTGAACTTTCAAGCTATCATATGTTGTTACAACAAGAGAACACCCCCACACTGCATATCATAATTTACAATCAAACATGAATTGACCTTGATCTTGTTAAGAATTTTATATTACATATGTCATCGACACCGGGAGAACATCCCCACCCACCCCACCCCAGACTGCATAATTATAATTACAATCAAACAAGAATAAACAAGTGGAATATCCCTATAAATCCATCTAGTTAAATAAGTATGCCAAATAATTAGTCAAAAATCGAAGTGACGACAAGAATTGATCTTCATCTTGCTAAGAACTTTTTATTACTTATGTTATCTACGCCGAAAGAACCCCGACCACCCCACTGCATATCACAATTTACAATCAAACATGAATAAACAAATGGGATATCCCTAAAAATCATTCTAATAAAATAAATATGCAAAATAATTAAGAAAAAATCGAAGTCAAGGCAAGAATTTGACCTTCATCTTATTAAGAATTTCTCTTCCCGCCATGACTGAAGACTTTTCTTCTCCAATTCCAAAATAAAAAAATATATACTCTGCAAAGCCCGGAAAAAGATGGCACTGCCTTTGAACAACTATATCCACGAGGAAAATCAATCTATGAATTAATGAATGAATCGACATCACGGGGTATTTATGGGTAATTTTGACATTGATGAAACTTGTCGCTGACTTTTCTACTTTGAAGGCGCGTTTTTCTTTTTTTATTTTTTCCCTTTGGCCTTTTTCCGACTTTATGTTCTTTTTTCCTTGTGGTGCCACGACGACATGTCTTGGCAAGCTTGAAAATTGGATTAACATCGACTAATGAAAAAGATGAAAGTCAAGGGCTAAATCGTCAAATCAAAATAATGAGGTAAATATGTTATTTTTTTACTTTAAACATTTGTTAGTTTTTAGGTCTCTTTTACCGTAAAACGAATTGATTTTCAAATTTTCTAGTCGAATTAATTGATTCAGTCAATTTTTATTATTATGATCTCGAATATACACATTAGATGAACTATTTTTTTCTTTGTGAATTACTATCTTGAAACTAGTCTTTCATAGAAGTTCACTTGGATCACTGGACACAAACTTTCAACGGGGTCTTCAAAAATAACTCAATACTCGTAAACGTCTCAAACCATTATGAAAAAACTAAAAATGTAAGAAGTATAAAAAGTGTATGATCAAACTGAAGGTCGTCACCGACTATGAGGAAGCTCCAAGAATTCTCTAAAATATTGGTGATGATTCCATCCTAATCAAATTCCTTAATCCTTAAGCATTCCTAGAACAATTTGAAGAAACTATTGGAAGGCTACCCATCGTCAATTCAAGAATCCTCTAGATACAATTCCACTGCCATTCGCGCCTATATATGTGTGCTGGTTGTGTGCATGTGTGAAGTGGGAAGAGAGGAGTGAGCAGCAAGAGAATTAAGAGTGAGTAGAAAAAGGTATAAGTGAGAGAATTAAGAAAGAAAGTGAGGTAAAGAGAATGAGATAGTGCAGGCCTGAGAATTGAGAGAAAGTGAAGAAGTTTCAGTTTAATTCGAATTAATAGTATCATGGAAAAAATTGATGTTATTTATCATACCCTTCAAAGAAAATCTCAAGATATCTTGACTGCTATGAATTTTATTTCTACCTCGACAAATCTACGTCAGAAAATGAGAGATTATAATTGGGAAAAATTTCTTCAGGAAGTGAAAAGGGTTTGTTCAAAACACAATATCGAGACACCCGATCTAGATGGGTTGCATGAGGTTGATCTTTGTCGTTCTTGTGATCGAATATGGAGCACTATTATCACTTTGACATTTTCAATGAAGTACTAGATTTTGTAATAACAAAATTAAAAACAAGATTTAATGATCCTTCAATAGAACTTCTCCCTCTCAGTACAACTTTGGATTCCAGAGATTCATTTGAATCATTTAACGGTTGTGATATTCATACACTTGCAGAAAAATTCTAACATGAGGATTTTTCAAAGCAAGACCTTCGTACTTTGGAGTTCGAGTTGCGACATTATGAACTAGAAATTAAGAGTGAACATCGGTTTCAAGTATCTACACTTGTTAAATTATGCCAACAGCTGATTGAGAGTAGAAGGTTAGAGACTTACATTATGGTAACAAGATTGATTCGTCTTGTATTAATTTTACTCGTTTCTACCGCGACTACTAAGCGAGCATTTTTAACAATGTAACATGTGAAGGCGGATCTTCGAAATAAAATGGAGGATGACTTTTCTTGTTTACCGTATGACACTCTACATCAAACAAGAACTTGCCGAGAAGATAGATCTAGATTCTATTATAGATGGATTTTATGTTTCAAAATCTCATCGAAAACAATTTCATATTAGATGAAAATGACTTTTAGATTGAATTTCTTAAATTCCAGTCCACGTGTCTTAAATTCTTAGATCCGTCTCTGATCGTGCCAAAGACAATTCTAACACTCAATCCAAAGACATTGTCAAAAAATTCCTCTCCTCCAAGTAGTTTACGACTTCATTCTGCCGGAAAATCTTGCCCCATCGTCCACAACCACGTTGAGATCACTCAATAAACCACACATGCACATCAACTATTTTTAATTTTAAAGAATTCGTATTGTATTCATAATAGAATTTCAACTTGAATGTTAATTAAAATATTTATATCACCAAATTTAATTGTTTCCAAATTTGATTTTAATGAAAAATTTGTTACGTGTTGACACACTTGACCAACCCACTGAGGATTACGATCTACTCATACTGAACCACGTGACACTTCAGCCGAGGTGGTATATATGCCAAAGCCCTGAAGTGGAAGTATTATGTGAAAAGAGGAGGCCCTGTTGACTGAAGCTCAGTAGCCGAGGTAGCAACTTCCGGATCACAAAGCAACACCTTCCATAGACACTTCCCTCAAGAGATTTTTTGCACAAAGATCTTACTTGAATGATTGATAGGACGTTTATTATAAGTGTAAATATTAAGTCTTGTCACTAGTAGAGATCACTCTGTCAATCAATAAATGTATAGCAAGCTAGGTGCGGCCGATGCCTACAATTTGATATGTAAATTGTTCGGATGAGGCCACGTGTACACTGAACCAAGGGTTATGATCTAACTGGTGACACTATAAAAACTCCCCCTTGTACCCCATACAAAGGCTAATGCAATAATCAATACAAGAAACCATATTTTACTCTCTCTTTCTTATTATCTTGCAACATAATACGAATTTACGCATACACATTCACAAATACCGATTGGTAATTATTGTACAATCGGTCCACGAACAATCTCGTCGAATTTCGAACATTCTCATCCTGCGCCGTTGAGCTACTCCCACGCCCTTGATCTTTCCGTTTAGACCGTCCACGTGTCTTAACGTATTGAACTTTCGCTCACGTGTGCGTGAGTGAATCTGGCATCTGTTGACAACATTTTTTGAGGTAAACAAAATTATTGAAGAACTATATTTGGAAATTAACATAAAATCTCTCAAAAAAAAAAATCACAAGTCAATGAATGCCTGTTCAAATACGAGCAGTCACTACGATAATTTCGTCGCCATGAAACGACGACATGCCCCCAGGGCATATCTCCCAGTGGCAAAGGGGAGGGCGGATAGGGCTTAGCGCGGCAGTGTGCAGAGTTCGATTCCCCGTAAGGTGGAATTGGCTTTGTTGCAAGCGAGAGTTACCATATGGGTTAACAGCCTTGGTCTATCCATGTGCTCTCCACTCTGGCTCCTGGAAGGCACATCCTGCGATTTACCTCCTCCACGATGGCCCAGAGCAGGGTCGATGGGGGCCCTTAAGGTTTGGGTTCAACCTTTTTTTTTTAACGACGACATATCAAGAAAAAAATCCACTCCTGATTCTAGCCGTTACACAGTCTTCGTTTCTTTTTTGAAAATCGGACCGTTAGAATCTGAACGTTAATACCCCTCTCTTATCTCCAATTTTCTCTCACATCTACACTACATTCTCGCAAGATCAAATTTAGACACTCCCTTTCTCTCCCTACAATTTTGCTTTCGAATTTGATTTTGATTACAGGATTGAGTTTTGTTTTTGCATCAATTGTTAATGGCGGTGGACGAGATATCGAATAATTTGTTCGCGATGGATGAGGCCTACGAGTTCTCGGCTCCCCAATTTTACGATTTCATACACGGGGAAACTGATGAAGATCGCCGCAAGGCCGAGCTCTGGTTCGAGATTACCCTACCCCATGCCCCTTCTCGTACGTAATTCTTCAATTTCTAATTTTCTTGATCATCTAATTCTGATTTTTTCTTTTTATTTTTTTGACTTTCTTTTCGGTATTTTACACGTGTCTATTGAGTTTCTTGATTTCATTTCCCCTCTTCCCATTTGACTTTTTAGGTTAGAATTTGAGTGAATTGTCACCGTACTCATGGACTATTCGTTACGTTCTTTGATGCTTGATTTTCGAACTAAAGATTGTAAATATAACTTTGATAAAACAGTTCAATTTTAGTAATTTCGGATTTCTAGGGTTTGCTATTACGTGAAATATTGTAGTTTCAAGTTAATTAAAGAAAATTAAATTTAAGAATGCTAAGATTTTGACCTTTCAGTAGTTCCATCTTCATGTTATGAATGACGGGGTGTAAAAACACGTGTTTGGTCTTTGGTTTAAACTGATGCAGCATTTATGCCAAGAATTAAGGCAAGCAGATCAGTTCAACTGCAGTCTCTCTGCAATTTTGGTGAGGATGAGCAACTACAGAAGGTGAAGTTATATTCATATTATCATTTCTTTGTGAATCTTTGTTGAGGTTTAGGCGACATTATGAAGAATGATTAAAGTTTTGACTACTTGTCACAGGCAACAGAGCCAGTACAAACAGCAACCACATCAAATAATACAGAGGATGCAGTTTCAGAGCAACCAGACTTGACAAAGTCAGTTTTTCTATACTACTGTATGATTTCCATTCATTTTGTTTGATGATCTTTTGTTCGTTTTTCATATTTCTTTGAAAAAAATGTACTCAAAATTTAATCCACTCGCTGTATGTTAGGTATCAAGAAGAGCGTGTGGCAGAACCCAAGGAAGAAGCTGGTACAAATCTTGCTACTGTGGTGAGTGCCTATCAGCTGTTCAAACATATTAGATTGGTTTTTGGTTTGGGATCTGTCCATTTCTCATTATATTGAACCAAATTTCAGAATTTTGATCTTAAGAAGGCATTAGACGTTGAAGCTGTACGTGCTGAGAACAACCAAAGGTGTGTTTTCTCTCTCATTTTTCCTTATGAAGATCATACACCATGGGATTGTTTCTACTGAAGAAGATAATTGTTAAAGATAGGGTAGTCTGATTGCATTTGTTGTTGCTTCTGTTGATTTCAGCATTTTAGCAAGTGAAAATTCCTCTTCCCCTGCAAAAGTTGCCCAAGGTAAGTCTTCACTTTTATGTCTTGTGCATTTAATCTTCCACTAAGATAATTTCTAACCACCTAAATTTACCTAATAACAGTAACAGACGTTTGTACCCCAGCAACAATGAATCAAACCGACACGAAAAATCGTCAGACAGCCAAAAAGATAGCCAGTATGCTTCGAAATCCTTCAACACTAAATCCGAAGAATCGGTTACATAAATCACAAGCCAAAAGTAGTAAAGCAGCTACAGCTACAAGGTACATATATGTAAATTTCACCGTGTTAATTTCCTAATGCTCAAATTCTATTTCATTTTCTACCAATGCACTTTTTCGCCTCATCCTTCCTCTTTTTTCTTTTCCCTAACGAGTCCTAAAATGTAACGTATGCTAATTTCAATTCCGTGATTCATATATCCGCAGGGACACAAAGGTGAAGAACACTGTTGGAACTCTTAATTTTGCTCAAGAAAACCAAGCAATAAAGAGGCAAAAGCTCGAAGGAGGAAAATCCCGGCAGGTGAATATTCAATGTTAATTATGTTTTCCCCCACTGCAAGTAGCATTTTTTATTTGTCAAATTAATTTCCTGTACCTTTAATATGCAGATTCTCACTATCAGCAAGCCTCCAAACCTACATCACAAATTGAAACCTGGCTCTGATAGCAATCCTTACTACTTATCCTCTACAACTATGAAAACTCGTAAAGAAGACAGAAAGGCTAGTTAACATATAGTTCATGAACTGTAAACTTTTTTGAAACATATTTGATTTGCTAACACATAATTTTACGTGCAGATGTACGTTCGAGAACCAGCCGCCCCGTTTGTTTCAATGGCAGAAATGATGAAGAAATTCCAATCTAGCACAAGGGAGGTTACTCTTACTCGCATGAGTAGTTCACAGTCGGTGGTAATTCAAGCTTTTCATAAGAAAAGTTACAACCCTTCTATACATTTACATAAGTTTCACACTTAATCTCTAAAGTTATCAATCATATCTTCAGAACGAGGCTGCTGGAACAATGCAGAGGAAGCCTAAGCTTACACTAACAAGGCCTAAGACACCTGAATTTGAAACATCTCAGCGGGCAAGATCAGTGAAAATTAAGAGTTCAGCTGAGCTTGAGGAAGAAATGATGGCTAAAATGCCCAAATTTAAGGCTCGTCCATTAAATAAAAAGGTGTATTCACCTTTCCTTGTAAATGATTTTCTTAGTTAAATGCAGGGTCGTATGCGAAATCGTTCATTCATAAGATTATTTATTTATTTCAATGACAGATACTGGAAGCACCCATAACACCAGCATTACAAAGAAGTACACCACAGCCTATAGAATTTAAGGTAATTCACTAGCATGCTAAATCAGTAGGAAAAACAATTTATGATATCCAGATAATTAAAGGGAGTCTTATGTACAGGAATTCCGTTTGGAAACAATGTCAAGAGCCATTCAAAATTCAGAAATATCTATTGCAGCTTCGACAGGATCAACACAGGTAATTTTTTTCTGGCCTCAATTTAAAAAGTTCAATCAACGTAATTCTTCTGTTTACATAATGAATTAAAATTGTTATTGCAGAACCGTCACCAGTGGAAACCTAACCACCTTACAGCACCAAAATCACCACTTCTTCAAACATCTTTGCGAGCGCGTCCCCCTAAGATAAAGAGTTCAGAGGAACTAGAAAAGGAGGAACTTGAAAAAATTCCCGAATTCAAGGCAAGACCTCTGAATAGAAAGGTAGTTGCATTTTCAACTTTTGATGATAGTTTAGATAGAAGAGCATTCTTGGAGAAAACACATTCACTATCAATTTTTAAACTTTTCAGATATTTGAAAGTAAAGGGGGCATGGGGATATTCTGTAACATGAAGAAGCAGGTCACTATACCTCAGGAATTTCACTTTGCAATAGATAAAAGGATTCCACCACCGCCACCACCAGCTGCCGTTGTCGATCTATTCGACAAGGTAGTAATAGAGAAAGAAATTACATTTTTCTAGATATACCAATTTTTCCTATTTTGTTGTTTTCTCTCACTTGTATAGCTTCCTGACTTGTTCATAACCTCTATTTCAGCTTTCCATAAATTCAGAACCTCACCACGATAAGCCTCTACCGAGAATTACTACACCAAATCCATTTCATCTCCACACAGAGGTATGTACATTCTTTTCGTGCATGATAGAAATGTATAAAATAATAATGGATCATATGTATCTTTTCTTTTTTTGAGTTTGGATTCATGTTTTTCCTTCGTCTTACCAGGAAAGAGGGGCTGAGAAAGAGAATAGAATTGCCATGGAACTCATGCAGAAACAGCTTGAAGAAGAGATGGCTAGGATTCCAAAAGCTCTTTCCTATCCTTATACAACTGATTATCCCGTGGTATGGATTTCCTCCTCTGTTTGCTAATTTGTTTATCACCTTACTTCCATTTCATCTCCACACAGAGGTATGTACATTCTTTTCGTGCATGATAGAAATGTATAAAATAATAATGGATCATATGTATCTTTCCTTTTTTTGAGTTTGGATTCATGTTTTTCCTTCGTCTTACCAGGAAAGAGGGGCTGAGAAAGAGAATAGAATTGCCATGGAACTCATGCAGAAACAGCTTGAAGAAGAGATGGCTAGGATTCCAAAAGCTCTTCCCTATCCTTATACAACTGATTATCCCGTGGTATGGATTTCCTCCTCTGTTTGCTAATTTGTTTATCACCTTACTTAAATTTTTATGCTCATTACTATCTCTTTGTGCAGATTCCACCAAAACCAGAGCCAAAGGCATGCACGAAACCTGAACCTTTTCAACTAGAAAGTCTGTTAAGGCACGAAGAGGAGATGCAGAGAGAAATAGAAGAAAGGAGGATGATTGAGATGGAAGAAGCTCAGATGAGAGTATTTAAGGCCCAACCTATCTTGAAAGAGTAAGAATACGAAAAACATTTTTATTTATTTTTTATTCATATGTTTGTTACTCATCAAGTTGGTTGAGCTTAAAGTCCTATTTTGCAGAGACCCCATTCCCGTTCCTGATAAAGATCGCAAGCCCTTGACAGAAGTTCAGGAGTTCAATTTACACGTAGATCACCGAGCTGTTGATAGAGCTGAATTCGATAAGAAGGTTATTTTTCTCTCATTTTCTTGTACATTTGAATTTATTTACTTTCAGCTTGTTGGTTTGGATACTTAAATAGAGGATTGTCGCACAGATTAAGGAGAAAGAAATGATATATAAAAGATATAGAGAGGAGGCGGAATCTGCAAGGATGGTATGTTACACATGCTCGATGCTACAAACATTTTATTACGCAGTGATCTGACTCTTCTTTTAATGTTCAGATGGAGGAAGAAAAGGCCTTGAAACAGTTGCGAAGAACACTAGTTCCCCATGCAAGACCAGCGCCAAAATTCGATAATCCTTTCTTACCACTAAAGTAAGAATAATGAAACGACTCCATTTGTTACACAACGTCGTATTAGTCTTTTTGGTTGTTTTCTCTAATACATATGTTTTTGTAGGTCTGGTAGAGAGGTTACCAAAGCGAAGTCCCCAAAATTGCGTGTTGATCGTAGAAAAGAGAAGCGAAGAATAGTGCGTCCAGCGCCCAGCACTGCCTCTCATATGAGGTGATTGTTATGCCACATGATGATGGAAAGGAACACGTTCAAGACCTCTTGAACCCAATGCAATCCCGGCATCCTCTCTTAGTCCTCTAGGTCTCACTCTAAGTCTCATGTTTTTGTAGAGCAGTTTGATATTGTTAACTCTGTATGTATACTGCAAATCATTGAATCAATTGAAGTATCAATATGAGAAAACTAGCCATAACTATGATCCTTGTATCGGAGAGATACTGAGCCCAGACCTGGGACGTGGCACACCCAAATTTTTTACTAGGACATTTACGCACCAGGTAATTTTGGCACTGATTCCAACTTTTCATGGAAACGATTCACGGTTTATATCAACTCATCTTCTGATTTCACTCTGCAAGAAAAATCTGAATTAGAAGCACTTTTAACACGCTTGCACGAATAATCTGAACAGTGAGTAGATAATCCTACCGAAGATTTCCATAGGTAGTTACTGCACAATGGACTTGAGGGGGATTTCATTGGCCCAGATAGTTTACCTGTTTGGCATGCTTTTGAAAAGCCAAAAGGGCTTTGACTAATTTTGTTAAAAGTGCTTTGGTAGTTTTTAGAGGAAGCAATTTTCTAACAACCCTCTTCTACAAGGATACACGCATACATTTTAAGAAAAATCAAAAGAGGTCCAATACAATAAATTACAACTATCAAGCATTGTCATTTTCTCCATTAAGTAAAAGCCAAATGTCCTATCCATGAACCTGGGAATTGAATCTTTTCGACTAGATTTTGTTCAGCGAGCTGCAGTTTATACGAGCTTCCATTTTATGCGGTTTTCTCGTTTTCTTCATTAGTATCTCCATACACCACAGACAAATAGTGGCTTAAATCTCTTGGTGTAAGACCTGGAAACCGATGAATACTGGTCGGCTGTGGATCAATTTTAACAAAAGGCCATCTCATGAATTCTGCTGCTTCACATTCCTCGGAACCATCCCCTATTACACAAAATTGGACATTTGGCCCATCGAAACGCTCCCGGATCCATGAAAAGCACTGGAGCTTCCCCACATCCCATGAGCTGTAGACTGAAAAGTTCTGCCACTTTGTCAGTTTTTTTCTAATTTTCTAAATCGTATAGCCATAAGCACGAAACCGAAACTGAAACCGAAATCAATTTAGTGCAGCATAAATTGAAGTGAGTGTCAGGACAAAAAGAGTATGCGTTGATACAGATTGATCAAAATATGTGAATTTTAATTTTGTCTTCTTAATCATAACCTTGTTGAGTTGCTGATTATATCCATTGGATCTAGACCGATACATTTGACTCAAAACAAAAGGAAGCAATGGGGAGGAGGAGACACAAAACAGCAATATTATCCATAAATATCAGATATGAAATAATAATCTAACCATTATCACAAGTAATCAGATCACCAAGTCGATACAATAAGCATTTGACCAAGCTGGGTATCAAAGGTCCAGATGTAACCAAGACATTCACATGCTGATGAGAATTGGCATCAGCTGAATCCAAACAGGGGGTCATATCTCTTTTACGAATCACACACTGTTCCAAGCAGGCTCGTGCTGCATCATTTGAGAAAGGTAAGTATAAAGATTGAGCAATTTGAATATTAACAAAAAATAATAGTATATCATTCATCTTACAACAATAGGATAGCACTGACTATGATATCGTATTTCGTTCTTCCCCATATATAGTTCTCTCATCCAATGGACTGAGAACAGCATAATGATGTAGGACAGGACATTAATGCAGCACAATGTACAACACCAAGTGGACATTACTCAAGCATGCAATTCAGATCCTCATTGAAATAACTAAAATAGGAATCAGTATGTGTTTTTAAAAGGGTAATTCATGCATTGAAAGATAGCACATGCAGAAACGTAATATTAAACTGAATGCAAATATTTGCCTATCTTATATCACATTAAGCAGCTATATATCATAAAATACAGATATCATGAGCAATCAAATGCCAATTATGATGTTTTCAGGTAAGAACCGTCTATATCTGAGTGAGACTGAAAACGTGTTCTTAAAATAGGCTTGAGCAGAAAAGCAGAACCTGCTTCCATCCACATGGATTCTGAGAAGAGTTGCCATTTTTAGACTATTATAACTTGGAAAACAGGGTAAAGTCCTACCAAATATTGATCTGATTAACAATTTAGAAGGAGGTAGATGTTCAAACCAAAATAACATTTTCTCTTCTCATCCCAAGTGCACCTGAAAGAAAACTAACAAAGTTCTCTTCTTGAAAAGGTAAATTGAGCTTCATCTATTGTTAACTAGTTCTGTGAAGAGCTAGATAATTATAGTCCTATTTCTTATATTTATCTATTTCCAATAGGAAAAGAGTACAATTAATAAGACAAGTAACTTAAGCAAAAATGGTTTCCCCGCTATTTTAAACACAAGGGGGAGTTGATATTTTACAAGTTTGGTAAAGAAATTTTAATAAAATCCAAGAAGATAGTGCATATCTTCCGTAGTGGAGCAAACTATTAATTACAAGGTATCATTTGAATAGAAAGAAGCAAAGAAAGGTTGTGTCAACTATTGAGGGGCTGGTCAATATTACCTACGTAGAGAGATACATGGGATATACATGTATGTATGTGAGGGTAGGTGTATGCATGTCTAGATGTGTGTATGTGTGGGGAGGGGGAGGGAGAGAGAGAGAGAGAGATACATTGTGATTAATGGAAAACCAACTAGGAACAGACACCGACAGATCCCAACATCCATTTTTTATTAGAAAGCATATAATATTAACAGAGGACAACAACATAAATCAACTTCTAGCCCGAATTTTCTTAATTAAGGTTGATACAATATCTTACACGTTCTATCTTCATCAAATTTCAAATGCAAAACTAAACTATCTAAGAAATTCATAAAATCGACGTTTCCCTTCCAGTTTCCTTTCCGACACGCTTCTGCCAGACAATCAACCATAGCACACATGGAATACTTCATGTGCAAGCGTTACCTATGGACGAGTCAGCAACCATCTTAGACTGTCTTATATTTGAAAAGGGAACTAGTCAACAATCAAAAGCTGCCCAATCTCATGTTTTGAGTTTGGTTCTGTTGAAAAGCTTCCAAATCTGCCATATTCTAGAAGATTTAGTTTTCTTAAAATTAGCATTTAATTTTTCTTTCTTACTTTATTCTTTCTTTCCTAATTTATTTCTTTCCTTAGTTTTATCTGCTGTAAATATAAATTCTACTATGTACCTATGAGATGAATTAATAAGAATTACTTTTCTACAATATACTCTCTCATTCAAGAGGTTCCTATTGACGAGTCATTCACCTTTTTCAAATGATATTTCTCATACGAAGCACAAAATCTAACTACTAAGATTTCTTCTATTTTTCAAAATACAGGACTAGATTGGATCAGTCAACTTGAGAACATTTAGGGGATAACTTATCACAAAGTAACTTACCTGAAGAGAGCCATCTGTCTGTAAAATTATCGGATAAAGCATAGAGATCATCCCAGAGTTTTATCATATCTTGATTGAGAAAACTATACAAGCCCTGCACAAATAAAAATGTACAACCATTTAGCAAACTGTATTGAAAGTATCATCTTTTTTGCAAGTCCAATAGTTTACTTAAAAAATGCAGAAATTCTTTAATAAAACTGGTGCCAATTATTTTCAGGACTCAAAGTTCCATGAATCTTTATTTGCTCATGCTGTCCTGTGTTACAGATAGATGCACATTGTGAGAGAATACAAAAACTAAATCACACAGCACCATTATAGTTAAGCTAGCAAACTGATAAGTACTTAGTTTTTCATAATTTCTATATCAATTTCTCTCATATACTTGTTTTTGACTTTTTTATTATTTATTAGTTTCTTTTACATTTTGCAGTAAACTTGGAGAAAAAAACGAATAAAAAGAGGTTAATAGGAGCAAAATTGGAGCAAAGGAGCACTAGGAGGATTAGGTGCAAAAAAGGAAAAGCTGGAATATTTGAAGGAAATTAAAAAGGATATTTTCTACAGCAAATAAGGAAATAAAAAGCTGGAAATTTAATTGATTTGGACCAAATCAGCTTTAAAAATACCACAATTAAGGACCCAGTTTGACTTAATCTCCCACTCCTTGTAAAACACGTTATATATTCAATTGGAAGGAGAAAAAAAAAATAAAAAAAATCTGAAGCTATTCTTTCCTCATTTTGAGAACAATGTTAAATCATCTCTGTCATTTTTCATTCACATTTTCAATTCCACGAGGGCATCTGTGGTCTTTACACTAAGCTGAAATTTCATAGTACAAAGAGCATATACCATCAAGACCAAATATATGAGTATACATTAAACTAATGCCCTAACGATGTGCAATATTGTCAAAAAATTGAATCATCCGATAGAACTAACCAATATCTAAGGATTAGTTGGTCAAATGCAAGAAAGACGATGACAGAACACGAAAAATGCAAACAATATGAAATCATATGTGGGAGGATATTTTTGTACCTGTTTGTACTTTTGAGCTATAACACGGTGACGATACGCTAATTTTTGTTTGTTGCTGGCATCTAATAAGGGACCGAAGCCATCCTGGTTGAAGTTATAATCAGAGAGGTCCTGACCATCATCATAGTGGCTCAAGATATCTAGATAAGGTTGATTGAAATTTTCAATCTAAATCAATGCAATATAAAAATATATCAGCTAAGAGTTAAGGAAAGTACAAAAGGATGGAACGATCATAGAAGAGAAAAACTCACTTGCTCGTAAAAGAAATAGGAATCACACACTTGAAGAATATGATTCTCCCACATCTTGCCTATCTCTATACCATTCTGAACACTCTTTAAACCATTAAAGGCCCCAGCATATGTCCCATTCAGTAAAGACTTGAGCAATATGAGAGTCTCATCCATGTCCCAAACATAAACATTCATTTTCTGATCCATGGCAGCCCTAATGGAAACCGGATGAACCGTTTAATAGCTATACAACTGCTTAACTCAATAGACCCTGGAAGATAACAAGTTGGTATATCAGACTTTCCTGGATTACAAAGATTATAAGGAATTCAAAATGCTCAAATGCTATAATTGGGCTATAAATGAGAATACAAGATTAGCTCATGAATAAGGTTAAACTACAGAATGTTAACTTTCCCGTTATTCATTTAGTCACTAGTTTCACCAAATGCTTCGGAATTCGCTAGAATTTATGTCCAACACGAGGCTTTCAAGTTTCAAATAATTACTTAAAAAAATCCTGCAAGAATCGATATTTTAAAGTCCTTTACCATATCCCATAAAGAAAAGAAAAACGATCCGCGACACTAAAAATTCCTATCCGCAGAACACTCAATTTTAAAATTAAATTCAAATCGAAACAAACAAGAATCAAACTCGATAATAATTTCTGCACACAAAATCTGATTATGGTAGCTTCTGATCGTACTAAAAACACAAAATTTAGTTACGATTCGATTCAATCAATAAAGAAAATGAATTTTCTCATTAGACTCTGATATTTTACATAGCGAGCCAAAGAATATACAAAATAATTCTTTTTTAAAAATCGTTAAATCTGCATAAAAGAAATTAGATACAGAGGGAGGGTGCGAGATTACCAGCAGAGCTTCTTAAATTACAGCAATCTAGCTCTTCGTTTTACGATAGTTGATCAAGTTGGGCTCCGATGAATGTAATGTGGAATTGGGCCTATGCCGCATCATGGAATGATATGGGCCTGCATTGTGAAAACGGAAAATTTCGTTAATAGTACTATATGGTGATTTGTGTAGGGGTGTAAGCAGTCCGATTTTACCGGTTTTTGACAAATTTTCAAACCAAATCGTTTAAAACGATTTGAGAAAAATCCAAACCTAAAATTATGATGATATGAAAAATATGGCTCAAACAGGGGCTAAATATATCTGCTATAAATTTAAATATTAACTAAATCAAAGTGAAATCACAATAAATTAAACCATAGTTTTTTTTTTATTTTTTTATTTTTGTTCACCTTTTTTACGTTAATGACGATACAATAACGTTACAATACAAGTCTACTAAACTAGATATAAGGTCCAAAAAACATAATGATGTCCAACAAGACCTCGTGATCATCATATCTGAAAAAAAATATTGATTAAACAGAGAGAATAACCAACTACAATAATAAAGCAATTGTTTATAATATCTAAACATAACAATTACACAAGTTTACGTTTGTATGATGTTACGAAACACATTTAATTTCAGATTCTTACCTTAGTTTGTTCCAAAAAATTATTGATCTGAAACTTTATTTGTAGCAAATATTATCACCGAAGGTCTATGATCCATTTGTCTCCGATTTGGTATAATGGACTTCAGTTCGACTTTGAAGAGGCGCGAAAATCTGAAAAGAAGTGTGTGGTGCCAGTGGCTCAAAACTGTGTTGGGTGTCAATTGGAGTTCATTTAAATTTTGAAGAGGAAAAAGGTTTTTGATAGATTATGTTAGTCTTTAAATTATTAAATATATATTAGGATTATTGGATGATGATAATAATAATAATAATAATAATAATATATATGTATTAGAATATAATAATAATAATAATAATAATAATAATAATAATAATAATAATAATAATAATAATAATATATCTGTATTAGAAAATTAGGAATTGACAAAAATACCCACAAATGACAAAACTATTGAATTTTACATATTTGGATGAATTTTCAAAAAAATTCATTTTTTCATTTTTATATATTTTTTCGCCGATCCGGTTTGGTTTTAAACCGCAATTAAAATTCTCAAACTTAAACCAAACCATTTTGACAGGTTTTGTTTGGGTCAAAACCATTTCGTTGACCGGGTCCATGTGGCACAGAATCAACGTTTTCTAAAATGCGGTTTCAGTTCGATTTTACGGTTTTGTGGTTTTTGCTTACAGCCCTAGATTTGTGACATCCTTTTTTTTTTATAGGGTCACTCTCTTACTTTTAATGTTATCGTGTAAAATGTACATATATTTCATTTTTGGTATTTTCACATTTCATTACGAAAATTTCATCCAATTTCTCAATAAAAAATATAAAATAATAAATATACCCCCATTTAAATAAAAAGAAAAGAAAATAAAAATTAAAGAACAAATTGCAATCACACTTCCAAACTTTTTAAAAAGTGTAAGTAAGCCCAAATAAATTATTAAAAAAGTAATTAACACAAAACGTCCATAACTTTCAATATTATCGTGCAAAACGTTTATACATTTCATTTTTTTGACATTTTCACTATTATTTTTACATTTCATTGCGAAAATCATCATTTCCTTAATAAAAAGTTGTAAAATGACTAATTTATCATCCTGCTTAAATAAAACAAAATTAAAGAAAAGAAAAATAAAAAATAAATTGCAACTATACTCATTTTCACTTTTTAAAAATTTAGGAGTATGAATGCAATTTATTCTTTAATTTATCTTTTCTTTTTTTTCTTTTTATTTAAATAGTAGGGTATAATTGTCATTTTATAATTTTTATTGAAAAATTGGATAAAATTGATAATTTTCACAATGAAAGATGAAAATAAGAGTAAAAATATCATGTAATAACATTTTGTGCTAATTATTCGTTTTTATATTTCTTTTTAGCAACTTGATTGACCATTTTTAGCATTGATTATGGGGTCTTGGGGGTGTTGGTGGATCTCATTAAATTCGAGACGAAAAGTGGATAACCAACGAAATATGTGATTAAAAATAAAAATTGTCTACTAACGTGTAAGAATTTTAAAATAGTTTAGATCATTCAAGTTCGAATGACCTACCTTGTTAAACACTCAATTGAAACTAGTCTGATCTAATTTACGTTAGTTCACAGATTGTCTCTTTATATGAACCCTATCATAGTAAATTTGATTGTATATTTGTATTGATCAATATTTCATGTTCGACTCAACTCGACAAAGTCGAGGATTGTGTTGAACTTTATCCCTCATTCAACTAGTCGAGCCTGGCTCGCTTAATTGATCCCTTATTCAACTAGCCGAGCCTGGCTCATTTAATTGATCCCTTATTATTTGTTTGGTATGAATTTTGTTAATTGATTTTTTAACTGTTAGAGATAAAGTGTGTTCTACATTTGAAAGAAGAATTAAAAATTGACGGCTGAAATAATGAAATAACGATCAAAAAATTGATATTAATTGAATTAAAATCCTTATCAAACATGCTTTTAGTTGGTCAAATAGCAATTTTATCCGATCTTTTGGGCAAGAAAAAAAATGGTTCAAATATTATTTCCCGCCTGCTGTCAGATCCCGAATTCAAAATCCTATCTTCTCCAGCCGCAGAGGAAACACAGAAAGAGGACATGGTTGTCATTACCAGAAATGTGGAGTGTATCTCCAATCCCACCGCCACCGACGATCCTCTATTACCCTGGCTACAATCCATTGAAAAAGCACTGCAAAATTCAATTCAATCGAACAGTTCCACCGATCTCGACGAGCTCGTATCGAAATGTATTTATACCTTCAATGCCGACCCACGCTACAGAGATGATGTCAGATTTCTCAAGATTTGGTTTCTCCATGTAATATTAAGCGAGATTGTGATTTATTTATTTTTTTAATTTTTTAATTTTTGGTTCAATTGACGAGTTGTTGATTTGTGTTTGACAGATGGATGGAAGTTCGGATTATGAAAGAGTTTTTAAGGAAATGGAGCGGAACAAGATTTGTTTACGTAATGCTTTGCTTTATGAATCTTTTGCGCTGTTTTTGGAAGTTAAGGGGAAGTTAATTGATGCGTGTATGATTTACCATTTGGGAATTTCAAGGTTATTAACCTGTCCTAATGAATCAAATGTTGGGATATACTGCTGTTTTTTTGTGATAATAGTTGATGAGATTAGGGCCTTTTTGGGTTCCAGGAATGCTCAGCCTTTGGGGAGATTGAAGAAAGCGCAGGTTTTATTTCTTGAGAGAATGTCAGAGAGGGTGACAAATGGTTCATTTCAGAAGGTATGTGTCGATGAGTTATGTCCATTTCAGATGGTATTTATGTCTAATATTTTTGATTTTTAAAAAAGAAGTGATCTTTTCTGAGAATCAAATCTGTATTTATATATACATGCAATTTTCTACCGAAGGAGCTCAAACCTAGTCCGTAATTGATTTTGTGGTGTTCTATAAATCTTAGTTACCAAAAATCAACATGGAATTATATAGAGGAAATAAACATGTTGGCCATCTATGTAAAACTTTACCATGTGATTTCCTTACAAACAATAAGATACTCGTGTTAGTGTAGTTCATATTTCTTCTTGGATGAAGAACATAAGTCTCCGTTTAGCAAATTTATAAATGGTTTATAAAGAGGAATAATAATAGGTCCCACGAAATATGAGGGTAATAATGAGTATTATTTATGGATTTGTGGTTGAAATTAATATTTGACTTTGATTGAATCTATAAACTATTTATATATTTGTATCCCATATTTAAGGTTACTCCAATTTTCTTTTGTTTTTGTTGTTAATCTGTGGATGAATAAGATAGTGTTCCTATTTGACCATGCTGTGTACGTTGAACGTAGAGTTCAACTAATTTTGATGCTTTGAAATGGCACAACAAAGACAAGGATAGAGCACAAACTTTTATGTAATATAAGAAGAACTACAGCGTACTCAAATACTTAAGCACAATAGGTCTCGAGTTGTTTGTCTTATTTGTAGTGATATTTGAGCACAAAAGGCACAACTTCAACTTGGAAAGTTAGCCAAAACTTCTGAGTGTGGTTGAGCTCTAGTCTGAGTGTTAAGAAGATATTGAAATACACAACTTAAAATTTTCTACATGATTATATCGCTACTTTTATTTGCCATTTATTATACCACTTTGATGGTTGATAAATGATGGCGTTTCTTGGCTTATGAGAGCAGTCTTGTCTGATAAAAGATATGTTCTTATCTTTTTTCTATTCTTCTTTAGTTGCTGGTGAAACATAAGGCCCTATTCTGTATTAAAACAGCTGTTTGTCCTAAAACAAGCCTAATCTTTACAATGAAATAGCTGATGCATATAAGAAAGAATGATTATTTCATAGACTATCAATTATTATGGTAATGCTTTCATGGAAATGAGAAAAATGTGAAGCTCTGCAAATTGGTTTATTACTCTTTGTCTTACAGACTCTATTATCATGTTATATGTGTCTCTAGGCTATATGGGAATAAATTTATTTTCTAATTTGAATTCAGATTCACCCTCAATAATTCTATGCCAAAATTAGGTGCATTATATTGCAATAGTCCTGACAAACTTAATGAGAACTTAGCTAATTTCAAGGTGATAAATCCCATATATATATATATATATATATATCCTTCTGTTATTTGCGCTTTATAAGCTCTTCAATTGAAGTCTCATTCTTCAACGCTTCAACATTCAGGTTCATGGAGTCTGCTCTTCTGTGTGTTGAATCAAGTCAACTGTTCATATTTGCATATTGGATAACTCATACATTGAATATGGTTCATATTCTAGCCTCTAGAGTTTAGGTGCCTGATAGGACCTTTGCTTCTGATACGATTCAGCACCAGAAACTGTAATCAAGAAGTAAAAGATCAGGAATAAGACACTATGATGAAGCTATAAGTATTGTGATGGAAGATACTGAATGCAGGAAATGGATTTAATAATAGCAAGTTTATTGAAGACTGAATAACAAGTTAACAGTTCACAGGCTATTCGAGAGGCCTGGAATCCCTCCTATGATCCTATCTAACTGAAACTCACTCAAACAGTGCCTACCTCTCCCATTTCCCTCCATCACAACTTATGGACATTCTCCTATCTCTATTACTCTTTTACCCTCTTAGCTAACTAACTTGGTGGAATATTCTGGAATGCTGGCTGACTTGGCTGCCTTGCTTCTTTCTTTCCTCTTCTTGCATAAGTGAATCGTATGGGGGGTCTACCAATGGCTCAGGCACAACTTAGTTGGATGCATGTGTCAGTTCTGTTCTTTTTGCAGAATGCACGTACTTGGGTTTTTTTCAGTTTCAGTCTATTTACATGTTTATATTTTTCGTATGATATAGTAAAGTTATACCTATAGGTCTTTCACATTTCCTTGAATATCATTTGATTTAAATCATTTACAGCTAATTGCACTGTGTTGTTCTAATCAAAGATCTATTAAAAATATCTGATTGGTTCATTTGCAAACGTCAACATCTGATGGTAGGCACTTTTGCATTTTCTTTATTCAGATGGAAAACGATGTTTCTTCAGAAAATGGTGAAAATTTTGTTAATCCATGGTCTGTCACAACCCTCAAAAACTTGTTGCAGAAGATGAATTCACGAGTAGTAAAATATGAGGTAAACCAAATTGGCTAGTATTTATGTGAATTTTTTGTAGCGAGTTTGCTTGATATGTTTTGATAGGCAATTATACTATTCTGCAGGGATACCATCAAAGTAATAAAGCATATCCAGGAAAAGTTTCATTATCGTCCTTGCAGAAATCAGCTAGGCAGAAGACCATTGACATAGGTAAAACTGATGATGTTCACGCTTCCTAGGTCTAAGAATATCTCAAGTGTCCCAATTATGATTCTTAGCAGCACAGATGGCTGGCTATTAATATTCTTGACACAAGTGGTTAACCTATGTGAAAGCTATATGTGCATGCATACTTATATACAAATAGCATAAATACTTTGTAAGTTCTATTGTATAATCTGCTATGAAAAAGACCTGCATTCTCAAAGGTTCGTCAAACATATATCATGGTTTTTTAGTTAAGATTTCATATTCGTGCTATAGTAACCAAAATTGTCCGATTCAATACAAAGTTGCAATTCAAAAAATTGAATTAAACTCTTAAATATTTGAAGAATCATAAGGGTACTTTTGTCATTTTCTTTCCAAGTGATAAATAGATCTTTTTTATTCTTTTTGCAAAACTATGTATATGTTTATTAACTACTTTGCTTACACATTTTATGTCTTTGTGCTTTCAATACAATCTTTCTGAAACTCAGTAAAAGATGGGTTGTGTTGTCAATTTTGTTATAGAGGTGGATCTCCATTTCAGTCTCTAAATTAGAGTTATGGAGATATCATCTTGGAACAAAAGGATGGATGAATAGCTTGAGTAAGACTGAGTATACAGGGTGCAGTTTTAGTCAATAGAGATGTGTTTATGGAAGCTCATAAAATATCGAAAATCTAAACCTAAATGTTTTTGATAGGCTCAATTTTATATAGGGAGAAATACAGTAGATGGTGTAACTAGAGAAGTGCTCAATTTCTTGATCCATTAACATAAACCCAGCAATATTTTTGTCCTCTTAATCGGAACATCTGATGGAAAACATAATTGTCATTGACATTGACTGGAGGTGATAATGAATTGTTTTAAAGTTTGATTAAGCCTTCAAAAATTTGTTTTTTGAAATGTTATGTATACTCTTTGATAAATTGGATACTGATAAATTATAATTTATATTCGACGGATAGAGATTTTCTCTTGAATTGCTTATAATGACTTCATGCTTTCCGAGCCTTATATTTTTGGGTCATTTAGCTGGACATGGTATTTAATGGGTTCTTTAGTACAAGTCGAATATAAAATAGAGTTGACCGGTGCGAAAGGACAGAATGATGATGTAAAAACTACCTTTAGCTTCCATACCATCCAAAAGGAAAGTGATCTTGACATAAAATAAGAAGAGCCAATTCATTTGGTTTGGTTGGTTATTCTGTAATTCCATCCTGTAAGGTGCTGCATTCTATTCGAAGTATTCTGTCATTAGGTGGAAAGCACAAGTATAACATTAAGAACTTGGTCAATTTTTTGTTTGAACAATACAGATTTACATTCCAAGGATTTACTCTCTGTTTTACTTATCTTGTTTGTTTTGATGTATGACGACTAAAGGTGGATATAAGTACCAGATCAAAGGGTGTGCAGGACAAGGTGGATTTGCTCAAGTGTTTAAAGCATATGTTGATAACAATCCAGATGATGTTGTTGCCCTTAAGGTAATTAAGGCATCAATTCCTGACTTCTACTTATGAGGACTCGGTAGTGAAAGTATCTTATTGGGTACCTTCTTAATCTTTCAATATGTTACAGATTCAAAAGCCTCCTTTTCCTTGGGAGTTCTACATGTATCGCCAACTTGACATGCGGATTTCAGAAAAAGAGGTATGTGATTATTGGACTATGAAATATATATTGAAATCCGATGGTCATGAAGCTGCGCTCATTCAGCTTCTTCATTTTTCAGAGGATGAATTTTGGCTTTGCTCACAGACTGCACCTCTATTCTGACTACAGCATTCTGGTCTCTGATTATTTAGCTCACGGGACACTTCAGGTGGATATCTCAATATTTTGTTCAGTTGAAATTATCTTATTCATTTCTTATGAAGTTCTTATTAATACTCTGCAGGATGCCATTAATTCTAATGCTGTCATAGGTGGGTCTATGGAAGAAGTTTTGTGTATTTATTATACCATAGAGCTGCTCCACATTCTTGAAATTCTGCACGATACTGCAATCATCCATGGTGACTTCAAACCTGATAATTTGCTCATCCGGTATTCCAGGTAACTAATGGTGCCCAATTGTAACACAAACCTATTTTATATGACATCATGAAACAGTGAACTCCCAGACGTTGATTTAGATGGCGTTTGCCTGATTTTAGCGAACATTTTCTTTACCAGATAACAGCATTCGAATTTGTAGAAGATAAATGTAAAAGGGAAATACTGTTATGCATATTGGATGTCTTTTATGGGAGGACGACTCTTGTTTTCATATTGTTTTACAGTAATAAACTTCAAGAAAATTTTAAAAATATGAACCTCGAAGGGTGCGGCTGGAAACATTGTGATTTACTTTGTGGGGGTACAAAGTCGAGGTCAATTCTTATTCATAGTACTAAGGATTGTATGCAGAATGTTTTGTAATAACTAAAGTATTATATTATTTTCTCTGCAAAAACTCATTTGTGCTAATATGTTGAAGCGACATCTTGGTGTCTCTTCCTGACCTTTCGGCAGGGATGATCTAACAGAAAGTAAAGATGATTTTCTCACGTGTAGTGGTCCTTGGCGTAATCAGGTAACTTTCAGATGTTTCAAGTATAGAGATCTGGTTGATCTTTCGATATTACTACAGATGTATAATGCAGGGGCTTTGTCTCGTCGACTGGGGAAGAGGAATCGATCTTAGTCTTTTTCCTGAAAAGACCAAATTCATCGGAGACAGTAGAACTTCAGGCTTTCGCTGTATAGAAATGCAAGAAAATAAGCCTTGGATATTTCAGGTAAGGTGTATATTCGACTAAATTTAGAATTTTGGATGTTCCATGTACAGTCAATATAGATCGCATCTACTTATTTTCATGTTTTGATTGGGAGGCAAGGTGGACACGTACGGAATGTGTGTTATTGTTCACATGATGCTTCACAATTCGTACATGGCTATTGAAAAGAAAGCCTCTCTTGATGGTGGCTATGTTTATCAACCCAAATCACATTATAAACGGTATGTCCTCTTCGTCCCGTTTGCAACAATCTATCTATCGGTTATCTTCCGTTTTTTCCTATTCAAATAAACTTTTCAACTTCAGATACTGGAATATAGAGCTCTGGAGAAGCTTATTTACCAAGTTGCTAAACATTAACCCAAGTGAAGATCACAAAAAATTGCTCCAATCATTGAGGGAATCATTCCAAGATTACATGTGTTCAGATCCTAAACTAATAAAAAAGTTGAAGCAGTTATTGCTGAAGCAAAGAACTTCCCTGTGTTCTTCATAGGACACATTCACATCTTCTTCCATGTGTGTCCATTGGTTCTCGCTCGATTGCAAGTTGCGCGTCTCTCTCATCTTCCTGCATAAGTCTGATTTTCTATTAGAACATATATTAATATTGTTTTTATAATAATTCTTGCAAATTTAATTAGTGTATCGTCACCACTGTATAGGAGAGCAATGGAGAGAGGCACTTGATATGTTTTAGGAGTGTTTGAAATTGGAATGTATCTCCATCAATGTCAACCATTGTCACAATCAGAATGTGAATGAGTGTATGTTGAATTATGTAGTTGTGGTCATTTTATTTTCACTCCTTTTGTAAGAAAGTTTGAAACCAAAAATATTGTTGTTATTGGATGGATGGACATTATAAGAGTTTCTTAGAAACTTCTTGTTTTGAAATATTCAAGTCAATTAATATGGACTTCTAAAGATGAATCACGTCGTTTTAAATATTCAAGTTCATTATATGAACTGTTAAAGTTATCTTAAATTTTGAGGACGCACAAAAGAATCAAGAATTATTCTAGTTTGTCGAGGAGTGCTACGATATCCTCACCTATATGAATGTAGGCACTAGTGTAGTTATTAATATCTATGATGTAGACAACAATTGATTGTTTGAAAATCATTGCTCTTGAGGATGCTATCACATTTGAAGTGGTAGAAATCAAGCAAAACCATAACAATTGTGAACTCACGCATTATACTTTCGGGTTCATAAATAGAGATACTGAGTGTATTTTTTTATCAAACAAAAAATTGGTTATCTTCTTACAAATAGTTTTTTTTCCATCCCATGAAATAAAATAAAAAAATCCCGGTTTTTCAGCTGTTCGCTTACTCGCTTTTTTTGCTACCACTTTTCTAGTTGCTCAAAATTGGATTGATTGTATTCCTTATTTTATTTTTTGACGGCTGTTCGCGACAACTTTTCTTAATAAAAGTTTTGTTTTTGGTACTTTTGCCTTCAACAAATATATCTTTTGCCAAGTGTTCATCTCCATTGTGCTTAATAAATGCTTTGCTCGAGTTATAAAAAAAAAAAAAATAAAAAAAAATAAAGGGTTCCTATTTAAGGGCCAAAATTGTATTATTGTTTTAACTTTCAAAGCAAAATCAAAGTTCCTCACCATTTGGTCCTTAAGGTTTACCTTGTCAACCAAAACTACTAATTAGAATATCATTCCTTCCTCTCTGATTATTCAACAAAATTTGGCCCTTGAGGTTTGTTTCATCTTTTTACCATAAAACCCCCACTACTTTGGTTGAAACTTGATCGAGGGAAAAAAAAAAAATGTAATGTCAAACACTTTTTCCAACCTCTTCATGTTGGGTTAATTGTGTCTCTATTTGTCTTTAGTCGAGTGTTTGTGTCCACTGTGCTTAATATTTATGTTTTGCTTGAGTTTAAAAAAAAAAAAAAAAAAAAAAAAAAAAAAAAAAAAAAAAAAGGGAAAAAGGAAAATCCTATTTAAGGGCCAAAAGGGTATTACTGTCTTAACATTCAAAGTCAAAGTCAAAGTTGGCCACCATTTGGTCCTTAAGGCTGCGTTAACCAAAACTACTTATATCCTAAGCTCCATTCACTTCGAGACGCATTGAGGATTACCTGTTCAATTAAAACTACTAATTAGAATATCATTGCTTCCTCTCTGATCATTCAGCAAAATTTTCTCAGGTTCTACACTTATTCTTCTCTTATGTTTTATAATCATAATATTAATAATTTATTCGCTTTTATTGATTCTTATTTGATGTGATCAGTCTCTTGTTTTTCTGGTTTTCTTGATTAGTTGAATACTTGCTTTGTAGTGTTCGTGTTCTGATTTTCTTATTACGTTCATAAACTCAGTATTGTTGTTACTAGCAATGCTTAAAACATCCAATTTAATTTTTTCTTTACAGGATACGCAAAGATGACAGACGATACACAGCATCCGATATACGTCAAGTCTTTCCTCTTTACCCGGATTTCCCCTCACATGCATTCCACGTGTGCTGGTTTACAAAATTTGAATGGTCGATTTATCAATGGAGGTCTGCAGAGTCTTTCAACACCATCATCATGCAATGTTTCACCGATGGTTCCGCTACTCATACAGGCTCCAGCAGAAAAGGATAAAGGATTTGCCAGATTTATGATAGATTTTCTCATGGGAGGGGTATCTGCTGCTGTCACCAAATCTGCTGCTGCACCAATTGAGAGAGTCAAACTCTTGATTCAGAACCAGGACGAGATGATCAAAGCTGGTCGATTGTCTGAACCATACAAGGGAATTACCGACTGCTTCGCCAGAACAATCAAGAATGAAGGTGTCCTTTCTCTGTGGAGAAGCAACGGTGCAAACATTATCAGATATTTCCCTACACAGGTTAAAATATACATTTAAAGTATCTGTTTTTCTTTTCATTTGAATTCTTGGTTATATCTAGATTCATTAGAAATTCTAAAACTCGACCATGCCAACATCGATCACGCAAGACATAGTTCACATTTAAGATGGATTCTAAAAAGTGCATTTCAATTACTTCGTTGATCAGTTTCCCAATAAATTTGTTATTCAAAATGCCGCTTCAAGATAATATTTAGCAGTATTAAATCATGTACTTGTAATTTGATAAAGAGTGACGTACTGTCCATCTCATTTATTGATGCTCACCCTTAACATGCCCCGCAAGATGATCGCTTGTGAGAGCACATCATCTTTGAATTCGTTTGCTCGTTTGAATCTTAGCAAGATTGAATTTTTGTTTGAGCTTATTTGGTTCTGATACCATATTAAAAATCGGTTCCATCTTAAAGGGTAAACCTTATTAGTAGTAGTCCAAGCTCTTGTACGTTGCTTATTTGTTTCATATTTATTTGATTTGGGATTCTACCCTTAACCCTGATGACTGTAGTTCTGTGTGTTTCCAGGCCTTCAACTTTGCTTTTAAAGATTATTTTAATAGGATGTTTAACTTTAACAAAGATAAGGATGGATACTGGAAGTGGTTTGGGGGGAACTTGGCATCTGGGGGTGCAGCTGGTGCTTCGTCTCTTCTGCTTGTCTACTCCCTGGATTACGCCCGAACACGGTTAGCAAATGATGCTAAGGCTGCCGCAAAGGGTGGCGAAAGGCAGTTTAATGGCATGATCGATGTTTACAAGAAAACACTCAAATCTGATGGAATTGCTGGTCTTTACCGTGGATTTAACATCTCGGCTGTTGGAATTATTCTCTATCGCGGGCTCTACTTTGGAATGTATGATTCTTTTAAGCCTGTACTTCTGGTTGGTTCATTGCAGGCAAGTAACATTCTGCCTTGTAATATTTTTGTTCCTCTTCCTCTTCTCTCTTTAATACTATTCGTCTGTGGAATTTTGGGTATATATCAAGTAAATGCCTTCTGAGAGCTTCATGAGTTAAGGGTAAACTGGAATTTCCTAATTTCTGATATTATCGTAATGCTACTATATTTGGTATCTGCAGGATAGTTTCTTGGCCAGCTTGTTATTGGGATGGGGAGTATCCATGGGTGCTGGATTGGCTGCTTATCCTATTGATACAGTTCGTAGAAGAATGATGATGACATCGGGAGAGGCTGTCAAATATAAGAGCTCAATGGAAGCATTTTCACAAATCATCAAGACTGAAGGTCCAAAGTCACTTTTCAAGGGTGCTGGAGCCAACATTATGCGCAATATTGCGAGTGCTGGTGTTCTGGCTGGCTATGATAAAATGCAGGTCCTTGTCTTTGGCAAGAAATACTGATCTGGTGGTGGTGGTTAATAGTATCAAAATTGAGATAATGATGACGACGAGATTAGTTTTTTTCAGTATACACACTTTGCCTTTATTCTGTGTTGGTATAATTTTGAAGAAACAGAATTTAACAATAATCTTGCAGTGTATTACTTGATTCTTTTTTATGTAGTTTGTGTAATTTTGAGATACACTGCAATGAAAATTTGTATAAGATGATAAATTTGCAATAAAAGGGGGTAAGTTAAGATCTTCCTATGAAGGGAAACATCAGATAAAAGCCAAACCCGTGCAAAATCCAAAGCCATTTCCCTCTCAGATAGTGTATTGGAGCGACTATGACCTAAACCTGATACTAGCTTTGGTTCAATTTTTTACCATGATAGTCACCGACTACTTAGTATCAAGACGATCCTCATCTTGATGCTAGGAGTGACTCAAAGTGACTCAATGGTTTCATCAGGATCATCAACGATATGGGGTACTCAACTAACAAAAGTTGAATTTAGGACTCTTTATTCCTTCAAATTCAAGAAAAGTGATGTTTTTCAACTCCCTCTCTCCTTTTAACCATAGTGCTGAAACTGTCTTTCTCTGTTCCCACTTCAAACTTCCGAGAAAACTACCTGGAAGGAGATATGTAGTTTTCGTGACTGCACATAAATCTCTCAGTTATTATCAGTTATATATGTGGGCGCGCTATGTATATATCATATAAACATCAGACCTTCCAATATAAGCATGGAAAATTGTAAAGACATAATCATATTGGCTGCCATTAGTGATGGTAAGAAGTCATTATAATTGGTTGTTGTAACGAGCACTGTAGACAATCAAATCCCTATAAGAATCAAGGATTTCTAGTAGAGACTAAGCTAGCTAGAAATGGCTTTGTACTCCTCCATCTCGCCCGGTGCATTGGTTCTCATGTTACTAATATTTCCTGCCTTCATCAACAACTTAGCTGCCAAACATGGTCATACAACCACCATCCACCACCACCACCATCAACAACAGCATCACCACAATCGCCTCCCTGAGAAGGCCGTGTTGAACAACAGGCTTCAACGAGCTTATATCGCGTTCCAAGCATGGAAGCGCGTGATCTACTCCGATCCAAAAAACTTCACTTCCAACTGGGATGGTCCAAATGTGTGCAACTACTCAGGAGTTTACTGTGCTCCATATCCTAACAACACGAAAATTCAAGTTGTTGCCGGTATTGACCTAAACCACTGGGACCTGGCCGGATTCTTGCCTGATGAAATAGGCCTCTTAAGTGACCTTGCCTTGATTCATCTAAACAGTAATCGCTTTTGTGGAATCCTCCCACAGAGTTTATCGAACTTAACTTCACTCTACGAGCTCGATCTCAGTAACAACAGATTTGTTGGCCCTTTTCCATCTGTCGTGCTATCGCTTCCTTCACTAAAGTACCTTGACCTACGCTACAATGAGTTCGAAGGGAAAGTGCCCTCCGAACTCTTTAACAAAAACCTCGATGCCATATTTGTCAATAACAATCACCTCACTTCCGTGCTCCCACCGAACTTCGGCACGGCTCCAGCATCCGTTCTAGTATTCGCCAACAACAAATTTGGAGGATGCCTCCCTCCGAGTATAGCCAATCTTGCGAATACTTTAGAAGAATTATTACTAATCAATACTAGCATAAAAGGTTGTTTACCACAAGAAGTTGGATTTCTATACAAATTGAAAGTACTTGATGTTAGCTATAATAAAATTGTTGGTCCAATCCCTTATAGCATTGCAGGTTTGGCTCATTTGGAGGTCCTGAATTTAGGCCACAATATGATGACTGGAGTAGTGCCAGATGGAGTTTGTTGTTTGCCTAATTTGTCGAATTTCACGTTTTCTTACAACTACTTCTGTGAAGAAGAAGGCATTTGCAGAAATCTAACTTCGAAAGGGATTATGTTTGATGATCGTCGGAACTGTTTGCCAGACAAGCCTCAGCAGAGGAGCAAGAAAGAATGTGATGCTGTAGACCAACATCCAGTTGATTGCAGCCAAATCTGTAGTGATTCTCTCCATTAACTCTCAACAATCTCAGCCAAATAATCCCATAACTTTGGAAGAAGGGATACCTCATAAAGGGAGTCACAGTGACCAGATCCATCCCAGGTGTGTACATACCGTCCCATGTTGTACATACACAAGTTGTAATCATTCCAGCTTGTAAGGAAACGACAAAATAATGAGTTGTAATGTGAGTAACATTCTATATATTATAGCAATGTAAGTTTTAATACGAGTCTTGTTACATAATTGGCATCCATTGCTACTTGTCTTTCTTGTACATTATTAAGGATCTGATAAATTCTGCTGAGTGTTTTGATAATAGTAAAAACTGCTGATAATTTGATAGAAAGTTCTTGAGATTTCATAATGTACATTATCGTTTAATCCTATGTACCAAACATGCAGCCATGTTCTTGAAAAAAAAATAAAAAAAAATTCACGAATAGGTTTATAAACTTGGCTCATTGCTTTTGTTATTACAAGAAAACTGTTTAAAATGTACACTTCATTACAATTCCATAGCCTATCAGAATTCATATGGATGAGCCATTTTCAAGTAAATCTATAATTGGCATGAAAATACGAACATAATGGTGAAAATTGTCGAATTTCTACTACGAACACTGGAATATACAACATGAAGATTGTCACTTTTGTGTCAACTAATCCATGCATGTTCGGGCAGCCTCTGAGGTTATAGCCGAATGAGAAAAAAAATCCTTACTAGAAGTTCTTGACATGAAGGAATAATCTACATCCCATGAAGCCACTGTGCCGCTATGGATTATGCTAATTGTACATTAAAAATAGTACATAAAAAATTACATAAAATGATGTGAAAGGAAAAGAATGATTAAAAGAGTTGACTATATTTTAACCGACAAATAATAAAATGACATGTGACATTATGTAACTCATTATGTAAAGCTTTAAGTGCATGTAGCAATGTCCATGCCACTATACCACTATTAACAGTTTGTTGTAAATTGAAGAGTCGTACAATCTCCTAGGACGGTGGAAGAGGACGCCGGCAAGTTGGGCACTCCATTTTTATGTCCATCCATCTTTGTAAACAGCTTAAGTGAAAGAAATGATCGCATGGTGTTACCTGGAAAAATTTGGAGTCAAAATCACAGTTCTATGAGAAAATGTCCTAAAAATGACGAAAAAGATGAAATGATACGATACCATGCAGTCATTGGAGCGATGGCTTAGCTCAATGGTGGTCATGCAGATGACGCAGTCTGTGGCATTATTTGCAGCCGGATCAAACCTTCTATAATAGCTATATTTCTCGGGTAAAATCTGCAATCAAATTGTAAGAGTACATAGATCAATATTTATGCGTGACAAGATATGCATGGTGATGTAGAAATATTTCTCTTCAATAATCAGAAGTAGAAAACGAGGGCACAAGAGCCAATATACTCAAGGGTTCAACAAGACAAAGATGGTACGAGTAATTTTCTTACTCGAAAATGAGCATAAAACAATCATGACACCTTATTTCAATGAACGAGTATGGACGAACTATGAGGCTATTCAACCATTAACTACTTAGTTGACCAATCAGGGGTAAGTGGAAGAATGCAGTAACTCGAATTGCTGGTACAGGCAATCTGAAAATTAATTTTAAGAAATGGAATTATGAAAATATATATGCATATGGAAAAATGATAGAGATTACAAAAACCTGGCGGGGAATGAACCACCGAGATCCAAAATAATGCTGTAGAAGAAGAATAGATGCTTGGAATCCCATAAAAATACTCAAGCACACACACCACTTCCTGTCTGGCTCTATTCTCATGAAGTTGTGTGGACAACCAAATGCATATAATGGGACAGCGAGCCGAGTGATCGTTATTCCTAAAATGTAATGAGGATGCAATGGTTTCCTTGAATCACGAACTAAATTGATGATTATTTGCGGTATCCAGAATGAGTGCAGAAGAAGAAGAATGAAGCGGAAATATTTAAGAAACTCATACGTGACCAAAATGCCCCCCAAAAGGATCCCATCTGCAAAATAATCAATATATTAGTATACCAGTCATTCAGAAAAGTTCAGAGATCATCAATAATTATGATCCAAAACCAGACTATAATAAAGCAAATTCGACAGGTTTGTGGAAGATTAGTATTAGATCATGTGATAATATTTATTATTATTTGATATATTTCTCTCAAATGTTAAAATTAAGCAAAAAAGAGAAGATTTCATTTCAATTATCATAAACATAACTCAATAGAACTGCCTGCAATCCCTCCCTCCCACTACCACCCCCCTTTTTAAGCCTACCATGTACCTATTCCCGGGTACTTTTGTGCGTGAATGAATCTATTAATAGATCAATCATTCAGAGCAACTACACCTTGTTAGTTTCATTGTACAGTGGTGCTCTTATGAGACTGGACTTTTATGGCTACCTTCAGTCTACCTTCTAAAAAGGGTCAACTTTTGGGAAACAAGCCATATCTGTTTTGACAATAGAAGAATTACTGAGGATTAAAAGGGTACTTCGAAATGATAGCATCTTTCCTTCTTCATCGTGTTACACAAAATGCCATGGCATTTATCTTTTCTTTTCAGTGAGATTGCGACATACATATGTTCTAGTCTAATTAATTATTACCACGCCATGCTAATCCTAATTACTTAATTAAAAACTCAGTTACCGTGGCTTCATAATTAATTCATAAAGGCCACAATTACATGCAATCAACTGAATGAAATATGGGTTGGAGTGTTTTTCTGCTGTAAGTAAACAAGGACACTTCTAAATCATTGGATAACAGGAGAAATACTTACAGAAACGGCTATAAAGAGCTGAAAGTTCACGCCTCATTGCTTCCCAATTCTCCCCATTATTCATAGGCCTGTTCGCCTTCCATATAGCGAGTAGGTATCTCATTTCAAATATTGAGAAGACCACAAACTTGAAAAATGCCGCAGTTGCAAAAGCATTAAATAGGGACTCTGTAAGCAAGTAATCACGAGCTTTTACTTCATACTGGTGAATGGATAACTAACAATGAGAAGAATAGCAAAATAAACAAAAGAAAGCTATTTATGGGTATCAAATGGGAAACAAAATAATAGCATTGTTTGAGTAGTGTCTGTGAGGTAACCCACAACTACTGCTTACTATTATGAGAAGAGAAGAGTAAAGTGATGCTAACAGTACCAGCAGGAGGAGTATTTAACAAGTAAATCTATGTAAAGGTCGGACTCAGCTGCAAGATAAATAACTAGATTCCATTTGACACTTGAAAGTAACATGATATCAAATTTATCCTTACAATTTTCTACTTCTGAAATTACCATACACACTTATTTTAAATCCATGCAACTAATAATTTAATTGTGAAACATATAAGATAAAATAACCAGCATTTAGTTGAAATAAAGACAATTGTGACTCAAGTTATGAATAAGTCTCAACATGGATTACATGTAATCAAGTCCATATGAAGAAAGAGGGTGTTTGGGCCCAATTTTTATGAAAAAAATGTATTTTAGAATAGTAGATTGATGGGAAATGTATGGTTGAAAAATAAGAAATTTTTTTTTATTTACTTGCAATATTATTTTCATGAAGAATGTGTGGTTGAAAAGAAGAGAGAAAAATGTATTTTGAAAAAAATGGGAAACAAACAAAGTATAAATCTTTCACTTCTTGAAAAATGCCACCGACAATGACTCGCAGCACCCAACTGCATTTATCATAGAATTACACCACCCCATTAAGGAAAAAAATATTTTTATCTGCTACCATTCTTTTAATTACTAATGAATTCTATGTTCTAAAACAGATATTGAGACAATGAAGGATATACGATTTTACACACAAAGTCAAAAAGGGATTAAAAAAAGAAAAAACACTGGCAGAAGACGTACACACGCAAGCTGCTGCAAGATTCCGTTTTTTTAATTTCAGTCACCTGTCTATTTATTTTGTCCTTTTCTCTTTACATGCTTACTGTACATCTGACTACTTTCCAACCATTTTAAATTGGTATAACTCTTTGCATTAAAGATATGCCAAACCTGACATGTAACTTGCAATGCATATTATGCAGATGCACGGCTACTAACGGCTGTAACACAGTGGATGACACAATATATTCAATAACCAAGAAAATACAAATTTAAAGAATATTCAAAATTTGGGAGTTAGTCCCATCATGACATGTCTTACAAAAAGTATTTCCTCTTACTTTAGGCCAATTTAAGTACTTGTCTCAAATCGAATATTCAGTTTGATTACATGCTATGTATGGCATAAGGAATGTTGAACTTAACCATTAAAAGTAGGTAAGAGGGTAAAATGGGACCACCATAAAAAACTCTCAATTCTATATCACGTACCTCTAAACAACACAATGACAATAACAGGACCATAGAAAGTAGAAATTTTCTAAATCATGGTGGGGGTGGATTACATTGTGGACCAAGAAGTCCATCATATCTAAATTATATACTCCGAATATAAAATTTAATCATGTTAGCTGCAATGTCTAAATGCATGCACGTGCTGATAAAAGAAAAAGTACCAAGGTCAAATTATCATAAAGAGGACATAGATGCACAACACTATCAAGATAGAGAGAATCTAATGGGAAACCTACTTTGTACGGAAACTAAAACTCCTAAACATGGAGACGACTTTGATACAATTGTTATGTTCACTTATTAAACCAATGGAATAAAACTGAGACTTGTCCAATAATATAAACAATAACTTAAAAGCAAATTAGAATTGTATACACAAATATAACGACTCCAAAACATACCAACTAAAATCCCTGCTGTAAGATGCAGAAGACAAATATATGCATCCATGATAGCCTGGTGCCCAATCATCAGAATAGAGACTTTGGCGGCTCCCTGGGGAAAATTTTGAAATAAGTGGTCGATATGACACTTAAAAGAACAAAGGAAAGGTATCAATTAACATTTGTAAGTAACATGTGCAATGAGAATGTTCACAACTATGAAAAAAATCTTACAGAATGAGTGTTACTGTGTTCCATTTGCCGGATCAGCAAAAGAACTTGGAGAAAAGAGATCTATTGCATAAAAAGGTCAAAGAATCCAACCAAAAAGGGTTGATAGCAATATGAAGGTTTCCTTTTTCATTTTAGAGAACAATATGAAGTACTTTAATTATAAGAAGACTTAAAGGATACAAAGGTGACCATCAACGTGTAGTTTACTGCTTTATTGTAATAAACCTCAACATTGACCGAAGTTGCATTTAAAAGCATCGGGGAGAAGCAATCTCCATCATCATCCACTGAAGGGGTTTCCATTAATCCTTCTAGATGATACCGATCATGATCTCCATCTAGAAAAAGTACGACACAACATAAATTAATATATTTGTAGTAGATGATTTAAATGCAGATTAATGCAATAACATTACAAAACATCATGGAACTGTATATAAAAAGTTTTGGAAGGGCATATTAGAATGCAATACATAGTTTTTCCACGGATCATCTGGAGAGTAACTTAACGTATCAGATAACATGAACTTAATATGATTTCATAATTCAAATGTCAATATGATAGGATTTTAGAAAGCTGATTAGGGCAATCATGAAACAATGTACACACACACACATAGAGAGAGAGAGAGAGAGAGAGAGAGAGAGGCCATAAGTATTGACCAGGCAAAATGGTGCTCTTTCGAGCATGATAAGAAACTACATACTTCTTGGGGTTTGATGAGTCAAACATTCACATTAGGAAGGAAGTTAGATCTTTCACCAAGATTTTTAGTACCTCGTTTCCTGATCAACGCTCTATAAATCAAACTATCATAAAATTTCCGAAGGCAAAAAGAGCAAAGGAAGGATAACATGAAACAATCAGAAAGTTTTATCCAATCCACAAACTCCTTAGGTTCCTATATTTATTCCCAAAGATTAAATTTGAGGAGATCCAAAGATGCATGAATATGTGCAACAGTATCTTTGTACATCTTCAATATTGCCATTGTTTCATTCATTTTAAACACTTCCACAGGAGGAAGAGTTGTAGGAACAATTAGATGTAGATCCAAGAACTTTCCTGACTTCCGAATTGTCAAGTGTATTTATACCGGCTTCTACAAGAAACATTCATCTAAATGAGCAAAAATAATTTAAAGGCAGGACATAGTTTAGCTTGACAAGCCAACCTGGGAATTGTACTTTTTCGCTCAAGATGAGCTTGAGACAGTGAGACCTAAGCTGATATTGAGCCCTAGTAAACTGAATCAAGCACAAGTTTGAGAGGACCTGTATATAGGCTCAGGAAGGCTTAGATGAAAAGCACAATTCACGTAAAACAAACATCTTTTTGCAAAATATAGAAGAGTTGCAAGGCAACCAAACTTTTGTCACTACTAGTTTATTTGGTTTTGGCAGATATCAAAGTCTGTACAAGCACAAAGATGATACATATCCCTCAAAAGGACCCCATTTGCTTTAGTAGTTGTGAGAAAAGTAACAGCCTTAGAAGACAATGCTACACCTCCAAGATATAAACATCATTAACTTACCAGCAGATCAAGCCAACAAGTATTCATGACGATAGACAAAACAGTAAGAAGCAGGGAAAGATGGATTTTTAAGACATGCTAACTCCTCTATTGAGGATAAAAACAGCAGCAAGGGAGTATTTCATATGCTTACCATTTTGCATGGAGGAGACACGAGAGATTTGTGCAGCAATTTCAATATTGCAATGTTTCTCCATTTCATAAATGGGAGCTGCAATGGAATAATTTTTAGCAACTTCAAACAGGAGTCTAAAAAATTTCAAATCATTAAAACACAAAATTACAGTGTTTACTCTTCCAGATCTTCTCTTGAGGAGACTCTTGAAACACCTGGGAGGAGAAAACTCCAAGCTACAAGAAAAAAAAAGAAAAAAGAAAATATTAGGCACATTAGAGTGAACTCCAAAATCTCTAGTTACTCACCTGTTGACCAGTGTCTTAAATGTCCATTTAAGAGAGACATAACTTGTAGATACAATTTAACCTAGTATAAACTTGGTACAACACGCTTAAAATCATGTTATGAGATACATACTCAGAACTAGAATTATACACCCTAAAATACAATCTTTTTTCCCATTGTATAAGTTTTGGACATAGATAACAAAGTCAGATCAGCGTTCATCATCTGTATTTTTTACATCTACCTACTCCAGACAATTAATTTATTTCAAGTCCATAATTTTCATAACCTAAATTTTTAATGGCTTCATTATTCCTCTAGCTTGATTTTGAAAAAGTTATCTCTCATACATAGTGCTGTTGCATTGACATTTGAATTATATGTTCGCCTATTTTCCCTTATTTTAAAACGCTATTTCAAACTTCTTGTGGAATGATAACTGCTCTGATTTCAAAGTTGTCTTTTGTGTGAACATAATGATAATTGGAAAGATAAAAATAGCTTACTTGACCATTGAAATGAAGCCACTTTATGAGACATTTAATCATGCCAAATACAGGAATTTTAAAATGCCAGAAGCATTTCCAAACGAGAAAATTGGATATTAGCTTGCTAATAATGGTTGGAATAAATTATGATGCAGAAGAGATCATCAAAAGCTCAAGTTTCCTATCGTTTCGGATAAACATTAACATCATAATGTGTAAGAGAACTTGCCGAACATTTTGTGAGGGTACTCAGATCGAAATAAGTTAATCAAATTCAATTAGAAAAATTCAATACTAGTAACACTCATAACCAATCAAAAGGTAGTAAAACCCACAAAATAGGCAGGGCCACTTAAAAAGGTTGAATTTCTCACAAATCCAATAGTTCTCAAAGTAGTACAACATGGGATATAAAATCATACATGGATTTAAATGCATAATGACATATGCCAGTAGATAATCTTAGTGAAACTCAGTACCACTTGAACGAGAAAAAAAACAGAGATGAATTAGATGTCAAATCTCCATGATCATCATCAAGCATCATGTGTGTATTGCATAAAAAAAAAATCAAAAGATGTTACTGCCAATAGCGCACAAAATAATCAGGCTATCATCATAAACTTGTAAAAGGCAATATAATATCACAAAGTAAAAGCAATTACCAAGTGATATGGATTGGATAATATGTAATCATCTTCCTGCCCAAACTCACTCTCTTTTCCACTGCAAAAATAGGGTATATATACATCAGATGATGATGCTCCAGAATAGCATCTATAGAGATGGATCTATCATCAAAAGAACAAAAGAAAGAAACAAAGCCATACAAAATGAAGAGAAATTAAATCTACATTTCCTCTTAGTGGAGGCAAACTTGAAGGAATATCTATCTTCCCTCTTTCCCCAAGTTGCGGAGACAAGATTTCAGACTGATGGAAAATAGATTTCATTACAAAGTTAAATTTCCATCATTTAATCAGTAAAAGCAAATATCTTTACCATATTAGAAACTCATATTATAATGTTGACACATTTATGGATCGTACGTATAGAGGTGCATGTGTCCAAGGAAAAAACTTCAGAAGGCATAATTGTTAGTCCCTTGTATAGAGCTAATATAAGGGCTCGCATCTTGGCACTAAAAGGAGAACTCATGGAATTAATTAGGTTGATGGATAGCGAGTATGGAGTGGGCTCCAGGAAGATCTACTGTCACAAGTGTGGGTGGACATGGATGAGTGCCCGTCAAATGGTAAAAAAGTTGTAAACTTGGATCCTAAGGAGTTGACATCGAACTGGACCGACAATAAAGAGCTGCTGGTTGAGCCAAGTGGCGAATCTCTGAGACGGACTAGAGCGGTGGAGGTGGAACATTGGGTTGAGGAAGGGGAGTTGAATAAAATAACTCTGGGGTCAGCGGATCTGGATGCAACAAAAGATAAGGGTCCCATGAACAACGATGCATTGAATAAGAGGCCAATAAAGGGATTAGGGTCAATGAGGGAGCAAGAGAACGAAGTTTTATTAGCAGAAAGTCCAGCTATGGGAGTTGAGGAACAACAAGGGGCAACAAGATCAGCAACTATGGTTGTGAACACTTACTGTAGGAAATTTTCCAAGTCTATGAAAGAGAGGGACTTGGGGAATGATAAAACTTTGTTGGTATGGGTTGATAGTGCTGAAAAGGAAGATATGGATAGCGATGTAGTACTGGTGGAGGATGAGGAGGGACAACAGTCTAACCCTCTCCATGCCGAGGAGATAGTGGAAGTTAGTGCACTTGACATTAGACCTCCCTGTCTAAATGGATTATTCAAAAAATTCTGGATTTCAGCAAGATGGTAGGTGTCTCCTATGATGGATGTGAAACTAGGCTAATGCAATTATTTAAGGAATTGGAGGCTAGTAGGGGACAGGGGATGGATACACTAGGTGGGAAGACAAGAAGAAAAGGTGACCGTGAACACAAACGGCTCGAATGCTCAGTCAATTATTACATTAAGGGTGGCAATTCAAGGAGAGGACCGACGGGGAGGGATGGCGGAGTGTTAAGATGATCCAAAAAATAATTAGTTTGAACGTGAGGAGGCTCCACGAAGCTGGAAAAAAGTTAGGTATTCGAAATCTGTTAAGAGGTTGGACAGGGGATGGATACACTAGGTGGGAAGACAAGAAGAAAAGGTGACCGTGAACACAAACGGCTCGAATGCTCAGTCAATTATTACGTTAAGGGTGGCAATTCAAGGAGAGGACCGACGGGGAGGGATGGCGGAGTGTTAAGATGATCCAAAAAATAATTAGTTTGAACGTGAGGAGGCTCCACGAAGCTGGAAAAAAGTTAGGTATTCGAAATTTGTTAAGAGGTTGGAGATGACCTTATATGCTTTCAAGAAACAAAATTGGACGTTGTTTCAAGGGCTATTGTGCACAGTCTATGGGGGGTTACAGCATGTCGGGTATCAATGTGTTGGGTCATCGGGGGCTTTAGGAGGTTTATTAATCATGTGGTATACTGGGGTTTTTAATATGGAGGAGGTCAGTAAAAAGCTATTTTCTCTCTTTTGTTCAGAAATATTGGGGATAGTTTCCGTTGGATGTTTATAGGAGTTTACGAGCCTAATGCCGATGAGAGTAGACGTGGATTGTGGTATGAGTTGGCTAGTATGATTGTTTGGTGGGACCTTCCAACGTATATTAGAGGAGATTTCAATGTGGTTCGATTTCCTACTGAGAGGTCTAGTGGTGGGAGATTAACAAAGACAATGGAGGATTTCTCAAATTTTATAAGGGATAATACGTTGGTAGACATGCCTTTAATTGGAGGAGACTTTACTTAGTCATCTAATCGGGATCAACCTGTTTTATCTCAAATGGATCGATTTCTGATGAGTTGGGAGTGGGAGACCAAATATCCAGAGGTCACTCAGAGGAGATTGGAGAGGGTGTATTATGATCATTTCTCTATTTTGTTATCGGGGAATGCGAGGTGTAGCGGAAGAAGGCCTTTTACATTTGAGAAGATGTGACTTAAAGTAGATAGCTTTAGGAAGCGAGTAAAGGTTAGTGGGAATCTTATGAATTTAGGGATCAGAAATTAAACGCCTTGAGGAGGGATCTAAAGAGGTGGAATGAGAAGATTGTGGGAGATGTTAATTAACGAAAAAATCAATGTATTCTAGAACTAGATAAGCGAGAGGAGGGTCGAGGATTAGATGGGAAGGGGAGAGAGAGACGTGGAGTGTTAATGGGAGAGTTGGAGAGACTGGTGAAGATGGAAGATATTGCTTAGCACAAAAAATCTAGGNGGAGAGAGAGACGTGGAGTGTTAATGGGAGAGTTGGAGAGACTGGTGAAGATGGAAGATATTGCTTAGCACAAAAAATCTAGGGTTACATGGTTGAAAGAGGAGGACAAAAGCACCAAATTTTTCCATAGAGTCGCTAATTCTAACAAGCGCAACAACTCTATCACCTTGTTAGATATTGATGAGATTACTTATGAGGATTCACAGGATATTGGGAATCAGATGGTGAGATTCTATCAAAATCTCTATCGGGAACAGTTTGACTGGAGACCAAAGGTGGATGGATTGGACTTTTCTACTATCACGAAAAAGGATGCTAGTTGGTTAGAGAGACCATTTGCAGAAGATGAAATCAAGGATGTGGTTTCCAGTATGAATGATGATAAGGCTCCACGACCAGACGGCTTATTGTTCGCATTTTATAAGGCTTGTTGGGAGGTGGTGGGATCGGATATTATAGATTTTCTTACTTATTTTTTTGAGTACGGCAGGTTCTTAAGAAGTTCTAATACTACATTTATTGTGTTGATTCCAAAGAAACCAGGAGCAGTTGACATTAAGGATTTTCACCCTATTAGCTTAGTTAGTGGAGTGTACAAGATTATCGCGAAGGTCCTAGCGAATGAATTGAAGGAGGTGCTAGGAAAAGTGGTGACTAAGAGTCAGAATGCTTTTGTGAAAGGAAGATTTTGGATTTAGTGCTTATAGCGAATGAATGAGTTGACTCTAGATTGCATTTGAGGATGCCAGGAATGTTATGTAAACTCGATATTCAAAAGGCTTATCATCACGTGAACTAGGGGTTCCTTTTGTACATGCTCAGGCGATGTGGCTTTGGGAAAAGTGGTGTAAGTGAATTCAATTTTGTGTCTTTACCGTTTCATTCTCAATTTTGGTTAACGGCAACCCGATGGGTTATTTTCGGAGCAGTAGAGGTTTGAGGCAAGGGAATTCCTTGTCTCCGTTACTGTTTGTGATTGTTATGGAGGCAATTAGTAGGATGCTTGAGAAAGCTGTTGGAGAAGAATTGATTAGGGGCTTTACGGTTGGACACATACAGGTTTCCCATTTTACTATTTGCAGATGATACACTGATTCTTTGTGATGCTGATAATGAGCAATTCAAGAACTTGCGTCGGCTACTTCTATTCTTTGAAGCGATGTCAAGATTGAAGATTAATTTAGGAAATCTGAGGCCATTCCAGTGGGAGAGGTTGCTAACGTAGATGAGTTGACTGATATATTAGGTTGTAAGGTTGTGCAGTTCCTCATGTCATATCTTGGGCTCTCTTTAGAGGCAAGGTTTAAAAGTAAACATATTTGGAATGGAATCGTCGAAAATGTGAAGAAGAGGTTGGTAGGGTGGAAGTGTATGTACCTTTTGAAAGGAGGCTACCTTACTCTCATTAAATCTACTTTGTCTAATCTCTCAACTTATTTCTTGTCACTGTTTCCTATTCCTGTTACAATGACAAACAGATTAGAAAGGATTCAAAGGGAATTTCATTGGGCAGGGCTAAGGGAAGAGAGGAAATTTCATTTGATTAATTCGGGTATGGTTTGTTTTACTGTAAGGATGGGGGCTTTGGATTGAGGAGCCTTGTACTATTTAATAAGGCTTTATTGGGCAAGCGGTTGTAATGATTTGGAGTGGAGAGTGAGAGTTTTTGGAAATAAATCATAGGAGCGAAGTATGATGTGATGGAGGGTGTAGAACCCTAAATAATTTTAAATACCTTAGTGGCACTAAGACATGAATATTGGATGGCTAAAAGTATACTTCAGATTTTTAGTCTCATTTGAGACCCATTTACGACATAGAAAACATTCAATTTGGAAAATGATATCTAAAGAAAAGTTGTAGCTCTTTGAGTTAGCTTTCCAACGCACTTTGAATTACCTCAATCGGATATTGGGAGAAGAAGTTATGATAGAAATACTAAAGGCTGTACAGTATCAACCGAAGTACACGAAATATGAAAAGTCAAATTCCTACACGATTTTCTAGCACCTTTTTAAACCTGTAACTCCCACATAAATGGCACTCGTATTAATAAGTATTAAGCTCTTCACTTGCCCTTAAGTTGTGAGATTTTCACCTATAAATAGGCCCCAATGCATGCACATTTTTCACACCAAGACAAAAGCTTTTAAGCATAAAAGAGAGTTTTCAAGTTTAGAAAAAAGAAAAAAAGAGAGGGAGGAAAATTAGTTTTTCCTAGAAGTTTTGGTGCTTTCAAAAAGTGTTTTTCAAGCATCAATTCTCAACAGAGTGTTTTTTTTGAAATATCAAATGAGTGCATTTTTCAACAAAGTTCAAAGCATCAATCAATGTAGGTAGATGTACAAAGTGTTAATTCGTGTTAAGTTATAAGTTTATAGCAAATGAAGATTTATGTTAATGTTTGTATGTCTAATGGTACTTTCGGTACAGCATACACCTCCATGTCTAATGGTACTTCCGGGTACGGCATGTACTTTCGGTCGAGGCGTCGTGTTAAGTCATGACTCTACGTGTTTGGGATTCTACCGAAAATCCTACTATGAAAAGGTTTCTGAAGTTATAGCTTTGAAATGTATAGCTTGATCACGAATACACCAATGATATCTATTGAGTTTTTTTAACTCACGAGTTTAACCCTTTCTCTACAGATTGATATGATTCTACCTTAGGCCTGGATGATGGAAAATATGGAGAGTGGTGCAACGAGCCCATGGAAAACCCGGTGAACAAGTTATTTAGATTTATTTTTGTGAACGTTTTCAATGTTAATTCTTTAAAGTATTTGAATAACGCTGAACGCGAGAACAAGTTGTGTTTTCTTCAAATAAATTACGTTCCGTTATTTTTTTTATTCAGTGTTTTATTTAAAGTATTCGAAAGGTTGTTGTTAAAATTATTATTGTAAAAATTAAGCTTCCGCTAAAACATATTCTCCTATGACTAAACCACCGATTAGTTAGCGTTCCGGTCTACAAGGGGTCGGGGCGTTACAGAGGGGGTTGGTGCTCGATCGAGGGTCATGAATCTTATAGGGTGAGTTTGCGAAAGTATATTCGATAATGATGGAATGACTTTCGAGAGAAATTAACTTATGTGGTGGGGAATGGCAATGGTATCAGATTTTGGGATGATTGTTTCCTTCTTTGCATCGTATTGCTTTAGAGCCTTCTGCTATAGTGAATGATGTACTAGTCATACATAATGGAAGTTACAGTTGGAATATTACCTTTGAGAGGGGTTTACAGGATTGAGAATTGGATGATTATGCACTGTTTTTAACCTCCTTGCACAAGGCGCATATTCAGGTAAGTTAGGGTGATCGGAGCAAGTGGAAGTTGGCACGGGATGGTATTTTTTCAGTTCGCACTTATTTTATATCCATATTAGGACCGACGGAGAGTTCATTTCCCTAGAAGATGGTGTGGCAATGTAAACTACCTCCACCGGTGGCTTTCTTATTATGGACGGTTGTGAGGAGACAGGCGTTAACGATGGATAATCTTCGAAGAAATGGTTTTTATGTTACCGAATGGTGTTATATGTGCAACAGAGATGGAAAAACGATAGACGATTTGTTCATCCATTGTGATGGTGTTCGGTGGTTGTGGAACGATATTCTAGCTTCCCAACATTTGGAGTGGGTGTTGCCTAGGCACATAGAAGACGTGTCGCGGGTATGGAGGAGAAAATTTCAAGATAAGCATAGTAGGCTTGCGTGAAATCTTATTTCGGGATGCATTGCATGGTGTGTATGGAGAGAAAGGAACAGTTGTTGCTTCGAAGACCAAACAAGAACAACAGAGCAAATTAAAGAATTGTTTTATATGACTTTGTATACTTGATTTAATGTTGCGACTACTAATCACGTAGAAGGGCTGTCGAATTTTATGTCGTTTCTTTCTCGTTTAAATTGATAATACAACTCATATGTATTATCCATTGATTAATAAAATTACTCGATTACTTATTAAAAAAAAAAAAAATTCTATATCAAAATTTTCGCAAAAAATATGATGCCAAGTTATTACATAAATGTAAAGTCCCATATTCCAGCATAATGTAAAATTCTAGTCTGATATTTGATCTGAATATAGAATCATGTTGCTTGTTAGCAAGACAAAAACGCCGAAATAAAATTACATAAATGTGATTAAGAGAGAACCAAAAAAAAGAAGAAGCAAGTTTAGATTATACAGAATTGATCAAATAAAGGTGAAAGGTTACATTTCAAGAATAGGTCCATAATAACCCAAAACTGAGATTAAGGATCTTCCTGTCCTTCACCATACAAAGGCCAAAGAGGATGAAGAGAGAAGAAACCATTATCAAGGACCAAAAAGAATGTTTTGGTTCACAAGCAGTATGTTTAGACATTGAAAGTTACTGACCCCACAAACTATCATTTTCTATCACACTTCCTCGCCCAAAAAGTATTTTGCAATCTTTTGTATTACGCAGAAAGTTAAGAAGTCTGAAATATAGTAACAAAATTATTGCTGCACATGTTAATATAAAGAAAGATCTAGAGCAAGTCCATCATGTAAAACTAATATGTTTTGTACATTTTGTACTCAATTTATTTATGACATGTATGGTCAATGCATGAGAAGACTATATAAAATCAAGTGCCATATACATCCTTTTAGATAAATTTGAAGTGCTTTATCTGAAATATTCCTAAAGATGATGTTGAATTCAAGTAAGTCTAATCCTAGCCACATATCATTTTGCACATCATGCTCCAAATGACCATTTAAAATGCTAGTATGCATATTACTCTATTAAGTAGAACAAGAATGAAAACTAAATTATACACCTGTTACCAACCATCCGAAGTTGTCTGAAAGGCCAAATGTATACACCCTCTACCCTAATTTTAGCACGGGCAACATCATGTTCATCGTCAAACACGCCATGGAAAATTATTACCCCCTGTGGTAAAGTGACAATAATATTAAGAAAGCAAGTGAAGAAAGATGACATGTTCAAACAACAAATTTAAGTTGATATTTATAATGATTTGACTGTCTCAAATGAACACATCATCAATACATTCTTACATTAAACAAATAACAGACTTGCTGATGGTGTAAAGTACTGCAAACGGATCAAAGTCTGTTGCATGATATTGGGATGTCAATGAAGCAAAAGAGAAGAAATGCAGAAAGTAGCAGTAAATTTCATTTACCAGTATGATTACAAGATGTAAGTTATGATGGTTCCAACTATCTATTAATAGCATATTAGCATCCATACTCTTGGAACTGAACAAGGGTCCCCATCCAGCATAAAACAGGCGGTTATCAAGTATCAACATGGATGATGCAGATGAAAGCGTGTGTGCAGATGGGAATGTTTGTTCAGTTGTGATAGATTATTTGGTATTTAACATCATCACATTTTTTCTGTTTTTCAATGAATTCCATAATATTAAAGACCATTGAAATAAATCAACCTTCTCAAGCTTCCAAAAGTCACACCTCTACCATTCATTTACTACATAAACACGCATTTACAATTAATTCACCAATATACTAAGTTTTGTATTGATACCATATATGAGAGCTTGTTTAAGCTTAAAAAGTTCACTTATAAGTCAATAAGTTGTAAAACAAATAATTTTTTACAGACGGAAGTCAAAAACATATTAGTATTTTGGACAATATGGTAAGTCAAAATAAGTATCTTTTTTTACTTGAATAAGAGAAAAAGTAATTTATCCAAACATTTATAGAAACAAAAGGTTACTTAAAATTTCTCAAAAAAAAGTCATTTAAAAGTCAATTTTACTTCTTATACTCTTACACAAGCATACTCTAATTCCTTCCAACATACTCCTCAATTCTCCTATGATTCATCTTTGGCTCCTAGCTTCCGTTACTAATGGTTCAAAGATAGATGGTCAACATAAGCAGAGTTGCATTCTATACTCAAGTCAAAAGATTAATGCATCAATGCATTCTGCTAACAATTCTCTACAAGAAAAGCCTCAGTATTTGCATTAGATGCAGAGCAGATAGTCCTTATTGAGTCTTAGTGGTAGCATATTTTTATTATTACGACCAATTCTACTTGTATGGATGACTGAATGAACAATTTTCATATTCAGATAGATGCTTTGCTTGTAGATATTTTGAATACTTACTTTTCTCTTGATAGAAGTAGTTTGGATTCATAAACAGAGAGAAAAATCAGCGGAAAAAAATGAAAGCCACTCTTTCATTTTTCTTGAATGTGAAATGGATGAATGAAACAATCACTATCGTGCAGATATTCCAGTTTTGAATAACAATTATCAGTTGATGACTTTGCTAATCTCCACTTTATCACTAACTACTATACAATGCTGCAGAATTTTCTTTCTTCCCATTTATGTACTACAGGATGATTTTGTGAGTTTATGTTTTTGCATTGTCAGAGGGCAAGAGTGAAACAAGACATAAAAATGTCAAGCTCCACAAAGAACAATATAGTATGCACCTACCAAGAGAACAAAGAATAAAAATTACATCTTGGTATATTCTTGAATGTCTCCAGAAAGAAAATCAAAGAATACTAAAACAATAAAAAAAGCCTGGAAAATAATAGTAATTGAAATCTGCTAGGAAGGGAGGAATGATTGTGTTTGCTTTCTCCACTTCATCAAAACTCTCGCAATTAAGAATCATGCAACAAGAGAGTTACAAAAATGGCCATTTTAGTGTCAGCACCATCACCAAGAATATAAAGAAAAATTATCATATTACCTGAACATAATGTACACCAGTTATTTTTGTTGGTGTACTCATCAATTCTAATACAGAGTTGCCCTTCGATTTCTTAAAATCAGGAAACTTGGAAGAGCTATTTGCAGAATTTAGAAACCTCCAATCTCCTGTACCTCGAAAATTCCATAAAAAAAAGATATAAAAATCCCAAAAAACAGTAGCAAACCAATCCATACTATACTTCCAAAATTTCAAGTTACACAAGTTCGGAATATTGAAATAAACAATGTTGTCAAAGCAGGACCAGATTGAAGGGGTCGACTGGAAAAACTGGGAACCATTGAACCTATCCGATTTTAGGTTTAAAAAATAAAAAATCAAAAGTTGGAAACCATCAAAACAAGCCACGAACTGACCTGTTCACCTTGAAATTTTCTTTTATTATTTTCCACCCTTTATTTGAACCCTTTTCCTTTTCTGGGTCGACCTCTAAAGCATTGGAAATTAGTGCACACTTTCTTGATGCAAAAAAAAAAATAAATAAATAAATAAATAAAAAATAAAATAGAACAAGTATTCTGAAAAAGTGCAGTCCCCACTTCCAAATTATCAAAATAAATTCTAGGGCATTCCATGACGTCAAGCAATATCTTAACTGCCAGTAATTCGTTCTGATATCTATTCATACAAAAACAGAAAGACAGAATCCGTGAGATTAATGCAACTAGTCAATTTACTAATACTTCATTCTGTCATTCTGAGAAAGAAAAATTCATTAATAGTAGCAGCTGCTTATGGAGTTGCGATTTTGATTTAGCTATTAAATTTATACAAGTCTTTATTTATCTTAGACAATGGGCACCATTTGTGGATTGAGTTATCAGAAAATAAAGGATTACCAAAGGTGGAAACTATTAATTTTTTGACACCCATGCACTGCTATAAGACCATCAAAAATTTGATTATGCCAAGAAAGACCTCAAGAATTTGGCAATTATTTAAACAAGTGTACCTTCTTTTTTTATTTAAAGTAATGATTTGCTCAGCTTGTATCATGTAGTTTTTTAGTTTGATACATAAATGTTTAATCACCTGATATCATGTATTTTTATTCTTTCGATGCATAAATATTTACTTAAAAGCTATCCTACCATTACTCCAGAAGAAACCGTCTATAGCTCCAAGGAAAACTAAACCAAGAAAAAACAGCAATTGCCAAAAACTACAGTAACTTTCAAAATATCTTGAGTCACAAACCAATCCTTTATGCTCCTACAGAGTTTTAATAAAACCACCACTCTTGCTACCTTTATTCTTATTGAGATCTCCCTTGTATATTGTTAACGCATGAAAATGATTTACAGTCTCAAATTGAGTTTTCTAAAGCCCTAGCCATCATATGAACACACGTGTCCCTCTTGCCTAACCTATCGCCACCCATCCCATTCACCCACCACCAAACTTCCTTCCCCCAACTAACTCCTATTGCATGTACATCACACATCCATTTCTTTTTAAACAAAACCCTAGCATTGAGGATGTGAGTTGTCTTTAAAATTGCTTCCACTCAATCCACATTAATAAAATTAAGATCCTAACCAACAAGCAACTATTACTATATCTTATCTGATATGGTGTACTGAATTTAACAGGATTTCTTTCCTGATAGAACTTACTCACATCTAATGATAACATTTGACACAAATACTATTGAGACGAAAGGCTGATCTTACACCCATCTCCCTCCATATATTGCCAGTTCTGGGACCCCATCACGAAATGCCTTTCCATGATGACGCGAGACACATAGAGTGATTTTTGTTTTTGCTGTCCCTCCATTCAGCAACATCCTTCTCTTACCCTGTATATCCCATACTACTTCCCCCAGTTGTGATGTTGAATCCAATAATCATTAAAAAAATCTGAATTCTTCCTTCTCTGGATCAATATCTTTTACTATCCCTTGCCCTCTCTTGAAAAATGCGAATAGGGGATAAGAGAAGTTTATACTATATGAGACCATGACCATCAATGTATTTTAATCCAGTAGGATGTTTTCTCCCGTACATGTAGCAAATAAAAAGGAATTTCAAAAACAACAGAACAAATATAAAAATTTAGTTTGGAAGTACTGTTTCGGGAAAATCTCAAGCTACATGTGCATCTTCAAAAGAAACAAGGGTCAATTAGATGGGTATTCTTGCCTTGGAAAGGAGTTATGGTTCCTGGACCCAATTAACCACAGCTACCAAAGTTAGATTCATGCCACTGTGTTCAATGGTTTATCTATTTATTGTTAATGAGGGTGTACCAGGTAAAATATTTCTGAAGTAGCACTCCCAAAAAATTATAATTATTTTAAGCTACCTTGTGGAACATAAGATAATCATAAATTACAGATGTGTTCCTCCAAGTTTTCGGATATCTGTATGCTTAGATACAAGGCAATCAACCAGAAGATGCACAAGTGCACACAATTCTCTTCTCATCACAAGAGGTTTGCAAAATGAGAAGTTCTCACAGTGCTCAAGCAATCAACAAGAAAGTAAGATATACATTAGCATTTAAAGTTATGGCAAGGTATTCTCATTCCTATTTTCAGGTACAGTGGAGACCCAAGAAACAAATGTTCAGTAATAAGCCTAAGCCAGATGCTGGAGCTAGGGGTAGCTCTAACTGACCCGTTAGCATTGCAAGAGCGTCAAGCTTGCTAACTTGTCAGAACATTTGTTTCCATTCCTTGGCATATACATCAGCTTGCAATCCCCCAATATAAGCAGAATTGATTTCAATCGAAAAACATTAGCAGCTATAGAAAACTCATGGAAACCCATTTGATGCAGCAAAAAGAAGAACGCCCTGATCAATAACTAAATAAATAGGAAAAGACGAGAAAAGAGGAATGATTCTTGAAATTATGGGCAAAAATCACTGTATTACAGCCAGAAACAAACCTTTATACGTTCCTGTTATATTCCAAGAAGAAAATGGGCCCAACTCATGCTCATCCTTGCTTACAAGAAGCCACTGCAAGAGGCAAAGGGTTAGAAATCAAGGTATTAAGAAGAATTAGGACAGAAGAGAGGTCCAGAGGAGGGGTGCACGTGGAGGTGGGAGCAATACATCTCAACAGAGCCATAAAAATGAAATGTCTTTACATGTATGATGTCTACATTATTTCAAATAATGGTTGCATATCAACAATTTGAGTAAGCGCTCTTACAGAATAGCACATAGCAGAAAACTTGTAAATGTAAATGCTTGCATTTGAATTTATTTCTAAACAAGACAGCAAAGATCCAAAATTCAGCAAGAATTTCACAGCAACAATAGTCAATTCAATCAACAAATTGCCTTCTACAAATTATGTGCAAATCAAACCCTCTAAACCATAAACATAAATGTCTGTTTTTTCCCTTATCAAATTTATATTAAGCAACAATGCCATCAGTATCTACACGTGCAGCGTCTATAGGATCTTCAAAGAGCTCGAAAGTCAGAATGTTGACATGAATCTTTTTCCTTAAGATTTCATAAAATACTTGGTCTCTAGTTCCGAGCACTATAATATGCTTAACCAATTAGAGTCCAAGCTGTCAATAAAACCAATCATATAACACCAAATTTTTTCAAGAACACAAAAATGAAAATAAACTATCCTTTAGATGCAATGATATTGATAATACCTCACAACTCAAGCCATTAATTCTTCAACATTTTACTTTCAAGACCACAGCAAATAAAATTGAACTTCACAAAAAATGAAGCAAGAACAGACTTTTACCAAGTCATACGCTTCACGCAAATGTGCAACTCAAACACACAATGAGAAAAGCTTTCTTGCAACCAGATGAATACCAATTACAGAACGTAATCGTGGGAAATACAGAATTCACAAACAATTCTCATTCATTACAATTCCACCACAAGGAAGCAGTACAAAATCAAAAGAAACTCAACCATAATTGATCACAAAATGACTATCAAAAACCAATACTAACCTCATCGCCCCATGACTTAGGCCTCTGCCTTAACGGCCTCAACCCATTTACTGGCAACACTACTGAAATTATCAACCATGACCCGAACACCATTCGAAACAAAACCCTTGAAAAATTCCAACTTTTCATCGGACTCATTCTGAAGATCAAGACAAAATTTTCTCTTTCAAGTGATCTGGTAAACTCTAAAATAATAAAAATTTCTGCTTTCAAGAGAAATGATAGGTGGGTTTTTGCTTAAAATTGAGTCTAACAATTTTTAACTAACCCCACAACAGAAGATGAAATACACCGATCAAAAATACAGAGAAAATGAGAGCTTAACAACCTAATAAATATTGATAATCAATTTCTTTTCTGGTTTCAACTACACGACCTTCACCGGTCAATTCTGTGACAGAAAATCACAATTTCTATCCATTTCTTTATTCAAAGACGGTTATAAACAAAATTCGTACAATCTAATACACGAACACATGAATGCATGCGTGTGTATATATATCTATATGTATTCATGAACTGTGTGTGAATTTCAATGAAGAATTTTTGTGTTTCTGAGCTTAGAAACGGTGGTGGTATCTCCGAGAGTAAAATGGTAGTCAAGAACTCAAAGGCTGTTTTGTTGTTACGGTGGGATAGTGTCACCGTAAGGCATGAAATTTGGCGTCACTATCCAATTAAAAAGACTTCTGTTCGGCCGAAATTGGGTTCAAGTGCAGTTNGTGTCACCGTAAGGCATGAAATTTGGCGTCACTATCCAATTAAAAAGACTTCTGTTCGGCCGAAATTGGGTTCAAGTGCAGTTTTATTTTGTAGGGTTTTTCTACTTGCATACCCGGTGTACACCTCACAAGACAATCCACAATAAATAAATAAAATCTTGATCCTTCCTCCTGTGAGGGAGGTCGATACACCAGGGTGTCAACCTCATATCTAACCAAATGTACATTTAGACAAATCGTATTTGGTAAACGCTCGTGACATCAGTATCTAGAGATGAAACTAGATTATACCCGTATAATGTAGGAACTATGTTATTTTTAAGGTAATATTAACATATTAAATGTTAAATATTGACAAGAGATGTATGCGTTGAATATTCATTAGATTAGTAAGACTGTATGAAGATTCAACCAATTTTTATTTTGTTTTAATTGTCTAGAAATAATTTTCAATTAGAAGTTTTTCCATATTGGCATTGCAATGATAGACAGAGAGATCATCATGAATTTGGTTGCGCTATTTGTATATGTTTCACCTTAAAAATTCTATTTCAAATTTTGATAGTGGCTCCATTTGTTCTTCCTCCCGTAGCTCCACATGTGAGAATGTATCATTGCATAACAATTAACCACCATAGAAACTTCAATTCCTTTCTGATTTGGACCGTTTTGTGTAATTTAGCAGATTATTCTTTATAATTCAAGATGAATATCAAGGTGTCATGATTCTCCATTAATCGATTATATATAAGAGATCTAAATGAGCATGAGTCACCACCAATTGTTCTTGTTATAGTGGAATTTCATGAATCTCAATTGATCAACAAAATATTTAGCAAGCATCTATAGATTCATTGTCCCTAAATTGGGATTGTGTCTAGGGATGTCAGACCGGCTCGAACGGCCTATGGCTCGGATGAAGCGAGCTTAGGATCGGGCCGACGCCCCAAAAGCGCGGCTCATGTCACGGGCATTTTTAGCCCATGAAATGGCCTGTGATGACCCAAGCCGAAATATTAAAAAAAAAAAAATTAAAAATGGAAATGACAAAAGCTGTCGTTACTGTAACGACAGCTTTATGGTAGCTATAGTTGTAATTTTACAAGACAATTTGTGAGGCTACCTTGTAAATTGAAATTTTCAATTTCAAATTTAGAGAAAAAATGGATTTTTTTTATTATAAATACGGGGCAAACTTTTAAGTTTCAAATCAATTTGTTTTAATCGATTTTAACTTGCAATATTATAGATTCAAGTTTCAACTTCAATTTCTTTACTTTCACATTCAACTTCTTTTCACTCTAATATTCAGTACTTTATATTATACTAGTTATAAATGAGTTTTACTAGCGACGAGTTTAATCAGTTTAAGAGTAGTTCAATTTCTCCATTCGGTTACGATGCATATCAAAATGTTCCAATTGAGTTGTAGGATATTAAAGAGGAAGAAGTACTCGAAATTAAAAAGTTGAAAAAAGAATTCTTAGATTGTTGGCAACATATGACAAGTGAAAATATTGGTGTTCAAAATAGAGTAGATATTTGGAAATCATGTTGCAATTACTGTAGTAAAGAACTTAGTTGGAGGTCCGATTCGAGCACAACACATTTGAATAGACATATTAAGAAGTTGCAAAATGAAACCAGTCGATCTCGACCCGAAATAGATCGAACTAGTGTTTGACGGTTCTTATTTTACTCTTTCCACCTTTGTATATTCACAAGAAAGATTTCATGAAAGAATGACTTTATACATGGCTGCAACAGAAATGCCGCTTATGATGATAGACTCAGTACATTTTACCCGACTTGTGTAGATTTATATCCAACCCAAATATTTTTGTTATTATAGAAATACTCTTCGTTCGGATACTATAAAATTATATAACAAAAGAAAACAAGTTGCTATTGAAAGTCTAAAAACTTTTAATAGTATTATATCATTTACCTTTAATTTATGGACCGGTGGTAATAGAAAATATTATATTGCTGCTACAGCTCATTAAATTGATCATTTTTTACTTTTACATAAAAGAAATATTGTACTCAGATGTATAGAATATCCTTATAATGTCACTAACATGTACATAATTTTAAAATATATCATATATGAATATGGTATACAAGATATAATTCGAAATTTTACTTTTGATAATACTAGTGCGAACAAATGTGTTATCGAAAGATTTATTAATGATCTTAACCCTACATTTGAAAGTTTTTTTCATCAACGTTTTGCATGCCATATTATCAATTTGATTGTATAAGTTGGATTATAAAATATAAGTTCTCCTTTAGATAAAATTAGACAATCAATAAATTTTATTACTGTGTCATCAACAAGAAAGCAAACATTTAATAGTTTGTGTGTAGAGTATGGCTTACAGGAGAAATCATTTGCCACTGATATAACACATAGATGGAACTCTACTTATTTTATGTTACATTTGTGTGAAAAATACGATAAAGTGATTTCATTGTATTATAATGGTAGGCATACATATGGACCTAAACATAATTTAGAAGATTGAGAATGATCTATTATATTTCACATGAAAAAAATTTTAAAATATTTTTTAGATGCTACAAAGGAATGTAGCGGAGTTTATTATTCTACACCTTCACTTGTTTTATAATATTTTTTCTATATTTCACAAATATTTTATAAATACAGAAATTTGTCATTTTTTCTGACGTAGTCTGCTTTACAAAGTTAAAATTTCGTAAATATTGGTAAGAGCTGCCCCCTTTATTTATTTTAACTTCAGTAATGGAGCCTCGACTTAATTTGACTAGCACAAAACCCACTATAAAGGGGATTTCAAATTTCATGAATGTAGAATTATCACACGTGCATATAAAATTTATATTATGTGAAATGTATAATTATTATGCTGAAAAAAGGTCAATGTAGTTCTACTTCCTAAAGTTCTTTTTCAAAAAAAATTTCAACAAATTCAGATGATTTATGAAATTATTTGGAAAGCAATACAAGTGTTCCCTCATTTAGTTTTAGTTTATCAATATTTAGAGATATGAATGTCGTTGGTACAAATTTTGAAATTTCCTCTCAGTTGGTTAGGTATATGTGCTAGACATTCATAGTGTGTTACAATCAAAAGAATTATAGAAATTTAGTCTTCTAAATTGATGGAGGTGTAACGAAAGACAATATCCAATCGTATCAAAAATTGCACGTGATCTACTAACATCTCTAGTATCTACAATAGCATCGGATTCTACATTTAGTTTAGGTTATTGAATTTTATCAAACAAATGTTCAAGACTAATAGAAGATATATTTGAGACTTTAATATGCTTGAAAGATTAGGAATGTGCGGAATTACGTGTTCAAGAATATGTTGACAGTAACGACTGAAGAGTTGCAACAAATCCAAACATAGAATGTTGTAAATTTTTAAAATAATTTGTTTCAAAGAATATATAATTTTTAAATTTATTTATTTCAAGAAAAATTGTCTATAAAATATTTTATTCGTGTACAGTTTTAACTCCATCTACGTCATGTAGCCGATTCCAAGTCCCAAAAAAAGGAGGAGGGTTGTAAGTTGTAACTTTTATTTAATTTGTAATTCATATAAATTAAGCAATTTTATAAATTGTAATTTTTATTTAATTTGTAACTCGTACAAATTATACAAATTTTAAATTCTTTTAAAAAAATGTTAGATTTGTAATTTTGTCACTAAAAAAAAAATAAAAAAATTTGAGCCTGTCTGGTTCGGGCTTGAGTTGGCTCACTAAGGCCGAGCTTTTCGAGCCTTATTTTTTTGGCTGAGTTTTTACTCGGCTCGACTTGGACTCCAAAATAGCCCGTTTGATTTTGCTCGAGCCTTGAGTTTCGGCTCGACATGTTGCCATTTCTAATCGTGTCTCATGGCCCTAATGCATTGATATATGATGATCTGAAATAATCTTCCAAAACAAAAGGCATACACATGGTTACAAAAATGAGTGATTTTTATATGAAATATTAATAATGTGCATTATCATGAAGACTACAAGAAAGTATTATTCAATAGTTGAACGAATCAGTTAATAAAGTAATGAATTTGAATCAAATATTTTAAAAGTAATAGAAAATTATAGAGATGAACACGCCTTAGTTACAGTAGCTATTCCACTCATTTTCCGCATAAAGTTAAGCACAACCCTTTTAGCTACAACAATGCCATGGGCTCTTCCTGCATAATTTTAGAATGAGTTGTAATACGACAGAGTTTTAACCGAAAGTATTAAAATCACAACACAAATAAACGGAATGAAAAATTTCATGGAAATAACTAAAATAAATTTTAATCATACTCTCAAGTTTTGGCTAATCAAACCCTAAAGGA